TTGTACTGCATGGGAGAGGTTTATAATAAACACAGGCGAATTCAGATACTTGTTTAATCCGCGTATTTATTTCGAAACATTAATGATTAAAATATAGAATTTAATTAAAATACATAAAACTATCTTTACCCAGATTTTTTTGGCGTTTTTTTTTTTTTGATTTTTGGTTCCGAAACGTTTCGAATGCTTTACAGCAATCATGGTCATGGGAGAGACTAAGGTTTTAGATATCTCAAGGCCTTATATTATAGTTGTTACAGGCAGCCTACGCACAAAATAACAAAATGTATTCAAAAAAATTTAATATGGCACAAAAGTACCTTACAATATTTACTAATTAATTTTAATTTTAAACATTTTATTTATTTATTTATTTATTTATTTATTTATTTATTTATTTATTTATTAAGGATCTCCAACAGAAGTACATAAATATACAAAAGAAAATACAGGCTCTTTGGATAATGTTTAACATGTACCCCCAATTACTGGAGAACACAACATGCACTAAAAACAGTGTTGATATAATTTTAATAAGTTTTATAATTGAATATGGAAAATTATTTATTTAATTTTAGTTACTATTATTATGATTATTACATTTTTTTTAACTTTATTAATTAATAATCTATATTTAGTGTTGCAATTATTATATTTATAAACATATAGAAGAATAAAATATTAATTATTCTATTTTATACTTCTTTGATTTTGTACTAAAAAGTCAATTAGAAAATTTTCATTAAGATTCATTGAGTGAGGCCCGTTTGTTTACTCGACGTCCGGCGCAACGTTTGAAAGTTGAACGCCCTAAATATCAGACGGCTGCATAATCTGGAGGTCAAGGTATCGATTTCTGCATTAACATATTTTGAATCATATACCAATAGAGTGGCGGGTGCAAGGTCCCGGTCTATTTGAATAAAGTCTATTAGTGGAAACTGAAGAGCGTCGGGCGGACAGAATATTGTGGCGTATGTAGAAGTATTTATTTGTCATTGGCTAAAACAAACTGGTTTAATCGGTGTAATTTGAATTTAAAATGTACGATAAACAATAAATAGTTAATTAGCGCGGCGCCTCACCGCGAGTCGCGACGCTATCGGCTTCGGCGTAGGTACACTACTCTAAGTAAAAAAACAGATGCTCAAGGTTGGTCAAAGAAATGTAACGGAAATTCTATTATTCCGTATTTGATTGAACATGTGTGTGTGTGTGTGTATGTAACTGCGTACGTCGCAAATCGCTGTTTTATTCTTCCTGTCTCCATCGCCCGCGCACCGCTTGTGGGTAGTTAGTAAAGCGGAAATCTCAACAACTAAATCAAAGCAATCCTACTAATATTACCTATAATTGCGAAACTTTGTGAGGATGTATGTATGTCTGGATGTCTGGATCTTAGATGATTTATTAATAATCTAAAGTCTGGATGTATAGATGTATGGATGTTTGTTACTCTTTCACGCATAAACTACTGAATGAATTTTAATATAACTTTACAGTAATACAGCTTATACATCAAAATAACACGCTTTTATTTTTATCCCGGAAAAATGTACGGTTCCCGTGGGATAGTTTTGTTTTTCTGTGCTCAAGACATTCGTAACTGCGGTCAATAATTATTATTATTGAAGAACTGTAAGTAATCGACCGCAATTAATAACAATGAAAAAAAATCGAGACTCTTGCTCGTGATACCTACTTGGAAAAGTGATCTTCAGTAATCTTAATTTAATACATTCGTGTTTTAGACAATGATAACATAAGATTTATGCCAGACATTTTCGAATTCTACATCAAGATTATTATTATTTAAAACCTACATAAACATGAAAGTGCAGTACGTTGGTAAGCGCGTCATTTATATTATATTAAGAACAGTTTTGGTTTTGCTTTTTAAATGTTCGTTATACATAGTTAAAATAATGAAAAATGGGAAATAAAGGAAAATCGAAACACCTAAACAAACAAACAACACTATCACGATATCGGCGCTTTAAAGTGTGTTTGTTTCTGAGATATTACCATATTAAAACGACAATCTATAAGTTCACTAAAATTATACTTTCGGCCTGTAGCGGAAGGCAAACAATTGAGTGAGTTAGTATCGTATAAATATTAATGTCAATATTTGTCAATATTATTAACAAAAACAAATGTATATGGCTAACGCTGGCTGATAACTATTTATATCTATTTAAAACGTACCTAGCGACAAACCCGAGCGAAGTCTTATATATAATGTAGTTTACCATACCTACGTTAAATTTTGATTAAGTCTAAATTTTCTACTCTGTTTCATAGTTTGAAAGAAAAATTCAGAAAAGTTAACAACAATGCAGTCTCTAATCTAAAAATAATAATAAAACAGAATCATATATTTTATCAACTTCTTAGCGCCGCAATAAAAAAAAACCTTAAAAATAGACGGTGATATGGCTCAAGCGTTGCAAAAACACGAAGTATCGGGAAATGTTATTTTTAATTTTAAAATCGCGTCACTGATTAATTAAATTAATTAATTAATTTAATTCTTTAAAAATAAAAAAAATATTATCACTTATGTTCATTAATTGATATTTCTAGGTATGTAAAGCTAGAAAGGCAAAGCGAGCCGAATCGCTTAAAACTCTGTGCATAAATTAGTGCTCATTTAGTGCTAATTTAGTGCCAAAAGCTAAAATTTGATGCTCTTATATTTTGACATAAAATTAGAAAACTGCTAGCTTTTAGGTAAGCTAGCAGAGTCACCGCCTAACACGCTAACCGCATTACACAGCGTCAAATCAATTCAGCATTAATTTAGTGCTCAATTAGTGCTGACCATCCATGAAGCCAAATATAAAAATTTACAGTTTTTTTATAACAAAAGTTGCTAATTTAACAGTATGAGCAGGGAACAGGGTAAAAAAGTGACATCTGAGTTAAATTAAGAATTTAAAGCAAGTTTTGTTATATAAAAAATCTAATGTGTTATGCGGTTAGCGTATTAGGTGGTGACTCTGCTAGCTTACCTAAAAGCTAGCAGTTTTCTAATTTTTTGCCAAAATATAAGAACATCAAATTTTAGCTTTTGGCGCTAAATTAGCACTAAATGAGCACTAATTTATGCACAGAGTTTAAGCGATTCTGCTCACTTTACCTTTCTAGCTTTACATACATGAAATCTTTCCTGATACCATCTACTGTAATCTATTTCATTAGTGTTATAAGGTCACAATAACCTTTTGTATTTTTTAGTATATCTCATGATTTCGCTTACCTACTTTTCACCAGAATATTTTAACTTTAAACATTTTTATAATTTTAATTAGTTTTATAATTGAATATGAAATATTATTTATTTAATTTTAGCTATTATTATTATAATTATTACACTTTTTTTAAAAAAATATTAATTAGCAATTTATATTTAGTATTATATTTATAACCATAAAGAAAAAATAAAATATTAATTATTTAAGCCACTATATTTAATATTTTCGTATATACTAAAGTGCTAGGGCCGTCATTTCGGAAGCTGTCATCGATTTTTGGTGGTTACATATATAGGTGGCAATAAGCTGCGGACAGAGGGACGGATGGACAAACATGGCGAAACTATAAGGGTTCTTCGTTGACTGCGGTACTCTAAAAATGGGCCAAGAATCTTTGTGTAACGCTCATTCATAAAGGAGACTCAGAGACCTTTTGAATTCCAAATCGATTAAATACTATATTGAGATTTGTTGTTACTCATTCTTAAATGTTTGAGAATACTCGCAATTGAACCAACCTTTAGTAAAGTCTTTTTTATATTTACTATTATAATTCGCATATTAAACTGCCTCGGTGGTGTAGTGGCTAGCATGTACGGCTGCACACTCGGAGGTCCTGGGTTCGAGTCCCGGGTCGGGCCAAGTTTAGTTATTGAGTCTTTCTGTATAGTAAGTCTCAGTAACAGCCCGGAGTTGGAAAGTTGGCGGTGTTTCACCCCCGTGCCTCGGAGAGCACGTAAAGCCGTCGGTCCTGCGCCTTAACTCTCACTGGTCGTGTCGAGTGGTCGTCCCATCGGAGTATGAGAGTGACAGGAATAGAGAGTGCACGTTGTGTCTGCGCGTACACTTGTGCACTATAATATCTCCTGCACAGTTGTCTAGTCTCAATGAGATTGGCCGCCGTGGCCGGAATCGGTCAGAAGAACATCAATTCGTATTGAACATTCTTTTAAAAAGTTTTACCAGTAAATTCATCAATAACTTGCAAAACTTTTCCACGTACTCTTAGTAGCCATCTGTGTGCACATCTGTGTCCATTGCACGGGTGTGAATGTCATTTGCAATTACAATTAAAGTTGAATTTAAAAAAATTACAACATTAATTAATTACACATAATTTCAATATAATATAAAGCTTTACATTCTTTTTAATTCTTATAAAATACACTGTAACTAAATAAAAGTCGTCACCGTCCGCTGCGCCATTAATATGCGCAAACATATTTTTAAGTCAATTTAAATGTAAATTTAATTTTGTTTGTTTATTAGTGTATAATTCTTTCATTATTACTTATTGCTACCGTCTTTCTGTCGTATGACCAAGGTGTCCAATGCATAATGGGTACGTCAGTGATAATATATGGCACGATCTGTTTGGCAATATAATATTGTACAGTGAACAACAAACAATGGAAGGAACTCTAATTTTTAAGTGGTGTTTTACATTTAAATCTCATCATAATCATTTAAGTCATTTAAGTCTCTTGGCTAAAGGTAATCTTAAGCAAAAATACACGTAATGTCTGTTAAAATATGTTGATAATACTTCATGTCGATTTGAATATTTCAATTGCAGATGCGGCTCAACTACTTTGTTGACACTAACATAAAGTTTACAATTTATTAATTCTGGTAATATAATGAAAATGAATTTTTGAATAATTTTTAAATAATTTCTGTAAGTTTAATTCAACAACCTGTTGACTTATACATTACAAATAATACAATAAGTGAGGTGTATCACGACACGTGGCCGTGGGCGGCGCGGGGCGGCGCGGGGCGGCGCGGGGCGGCGCGGGGCGGCGCGGGGCGGCGCGGGGCGGCGCGGGGCGGCGCGGGGCGGCGCGGGGACGACACACTCACAACAACTTCGTTATCGGTTATTATCGCGTAAACATGATAGCGCGCAATAGTTATCACTTCTATTAGATGTTTCAAAACAAAATTATGGGCTTTATTATTACGGCTCTTGTTTCAGTTCTATAATTGGATTTAAATTAATTTCTATGTTAGTATGTTTACTAAATCTCAAACAGTTTTTATATGCAAGCTCTCATAATTCGAGCTTAGATCCTTTTATTAGGTGCCAGCGGGACCCTACTACTAAGCCTCCGCTGTCCGTCTGTCTGTCAGCAGGCTGTATCTCATAAACCGAAATAGGTAGAGACTTGAGAGTTAAAATATTCTCAGTGTGTGTATTTCTACTGCCTCTATAACAACAAATAATAAAAAATCAAGATGACGAATTTCAATAAATGGTCGCCAATCGCCATGAAAATTAAAAAAAATATCGATCAGTGCATTATATCTTGTACGATGGCACCGAACCCTTCGTGTGCGAGTCCGACTCGTTCTTGACCAGTTTTTTATAACTTAACATTCGTTAATGATCTTTTGGTATATACTAAAAAGAATACTATAATGTGATGTATAATACAGAAAATTTATTATCTATACTCTATAGATAATATGTAATAACTGAACATAATGTTCTCAATAGAATGTATTGCTTAGTTTACAAATATTTTACAGAAACTTCAAAAGATACGCTCACATTAATGGTCCTAAGCTCCAGACTTCCGTCATCGGCGGGTCGCAGCCGTTTCGCGGCCGCTGTGGGATCGAGAGGAAGCCGTTAACGCGAGAGCGGCTCGTTAGTATCATATTACCATGAAATTATCATAAAATTATTTAATGCAAATGTTGAAGTATATTTTTATTTAAATTATTACTAAGTTTTCATCGTAGCTATAACTTTTAAGTTTCATAGCACGATTATTATTATCTTTAAAGTACCTGGGCCACCGAGCTTCGCTCGGAGTTTTTGGTTATGAAGTACAATTATCTTTAAAAAAAAACTAAAAACTTGAATAAATACAAAAAAAAAAACAAAAATAAATTATACCTTTGTATCCGACTGGGATTCGAACCCGGACACCTATCAATCTTGCGCCGTGGCCATTTGACGAAGAAGTGTCTAATTGCATGAAAATTAGAAGGTAATTAATTGTAACAGTAATACTAAGTTTAAAGTCCAAACAGTTTGCTTGTGTAAGTTTCCTTATAGTGCACATATCCGCGATTTTGTTACCGCGTCTAAGAATGCAACTTCGAAATACCACAAAGTTTATTTTAAAACTAGCGGTTGATTCCCCATATAAACTTTCGTCCCCATTATCACCCCCTTTACGGATGATTTCCGGAATAGAAAATATACTAAGTCCTTCCTAGGGTCTCAAACTATCTTCTTACCAAATTTCATCTAAATCAGTCGAGTAGTTTTTGGGTTTTTTCGTTACAAACATACAAATATACAAATCTTTCCTCTTTATAATAGTGTGCTCTGCCCTTTTATCGTCCCACTGCTGGGCACCGGCCTCCCTTCAATAATAAATCTATAATAGTAAGTGTAGATAATTTAGTGAATCTATAGATAATGTAGGTAAAAAATATTCAATTTAATTCAATTCCTAGAAAATATACAGCAGTGCTCAAAGTAGGTACCTACTCGTTTCCTTCTCTTGGGTGGAATGTCTTACAGTTGCATTATTGGATGCTTATGTGAAAGATAATGAATACTCAGATAATTAATATATTAATAATTTAATAAAATCGCTCGAACAGGAAGTCCGTTCGCAATTTCTAGATCAGTGATTAGTTATACATCCAAGCGCTGGGGCTAAGAATGTGGATTTTATATTATTATATTATTGGCATTTGACTTCCGGGTGTAGCGATACATTCTATTTTATTGGAACATATTAAAGATATTCATTTAAATATTCAAATAAAATAAAAAGTAGGCAAGTGTGCGCTTGAATAATATTTCTTATTAAGATTGGTAAGTAACAAATATAGTTGTATGTTTTACCTAACACTAAACTACAAGATTGTAAGCAGGAAATAAAAGGCTTTTTTATTTATTAGGATTTGTACACGCAGGTATAAAATAATGTATATATATATATATATATATATATATATATATATATATATATATGTATATGTATATGTATATAATAAGGTATAATATAATAATATCGGACCGGTTTCAAAGTTGTGCAAATATAGTAGCTGGTATCTGGATTTATGATTTAAGTAGAAAATTGGAAAATCGGTTCTTTTTCTATAACTTTACTATAGGTACCTATACTATACCACACATACCTACTAGTATGTATGTAATTGAAATAAATAAATCGGTGTGATTTGATTACCTTTGTTATTAAAGTATCTAGGTAAGTGAAATCTTGATGTTCAAAAGAGTTTGTTTGGAATGTTGTTACTTGTTAGCATAAAACGACCAACTTTGACACTCTGGTAGAGAGCGTGAAGCTATATTAAAATCCAACTGGTTTTAGATTAGAATTCATATTAAATAAACGTGTAATCAATAATTTCATTAAAGTAAGTAACAACAACAGTATTCCCCGTGGCACTGCGACTTCCGTACAGATTTTATATAGATATTATTATAAAGCAAGAATAAACACTTGTATTATTTAAAGCAAGAATGAGTAAAAAGATTATTCCTTGCTCTAACTTCTTACTAATCCTCTATGATAAGATAATTATAATGTTATTTAGATAATTACTATAAATCTTAACTGAACTTAATATGAAGTAACGATAAAACAATTTATCGATACACAGACTCGTCCATCATTGTAAAAGGCACATCCAAAGCTATACAAAAATTATCTTTTGAGGAACACTTCATTTGCATCGAATTCAATTACATTATTCAAACAGTTGTAGCCGCAACTAGGATATGTTAATGTCGCGCGGGAATTCCTGGTCATGTTACTTTTGTTTTAAAAATCCCTTCTAATTATTGCACACCAATCAGACAGTTCAGTTGTTGCAATAGAAGTTACATAAGAATAAAGAAAAGGTAAGCGTGAGTGAGGAAATTCTTTTTGTGAAAAGACGTTTTGTACATCGCTTAATGTTTTCTTAGATTTACTTCGCTATTTCGTACTTGCAAGAATTTTTTTACTGCTTTTCCTAAGGGCTCAACTAGCAGTTATCACTTTGTCCTTGAGCGGTAAACTTAAAAAACCATCGTAAACTCTATGGAATGCACTACAACTATTAGTATAATAGTAACCAGAACAAGTAGTTCATAGCAGTCGGTCACTCGGTAGTCGGTGTAGTAGTGGAGGGGCGGGTGGAGGGCGAGCTCGCGGCGCCCGCGCGTGTGCGCCGCCCGCCGCCGGCCAGCCGCTAGTGCCGCGTAGAGCTGCGCGCGTGGCGTCGGCTTGTTTGTGCACGCTAGCACGCGCGATCGAACTCCAGATTCATAATATTTCTCGTAATGTCGCAACTTGCCTGGACCAAAGAGGAACTTCTGAAAAAGATATTTACCTTTAGTAAAGCTAAAGATTGGGAAATGTAAAAAAGTGTACTGTTGAAAGTTATTTCTTACTCTTAATACAGACAAAAGTTAAAGTGCAGTGCAGAAGTTGAAAGTGACCTTATACAGTGAGTTCTCCTGTGTGGATGCGGTTATGATCACGGCCGCTGCTATCTTAATCACCAAAATCAATTACTTTAGGTAGAAAAATAATGATAACTTCGTCTTAACTTATACATATATGTAGACTGTAGAGGCTACCAACATACAGACATAAACAAAATGTTAAGTAAGAGCGAGAATAAATTAACTAAACCTCACGTGACTCCCATAGAATTAATTTTATACGAAGATATTTTTAAAAAACAATAGCCACATCTACATACGAGTATGTATGTAAAGTCGCGACTCTTTTTCTAGATATCATTACAATATGCCAAGAATTTGCTTTTAATGTTGTTTTGTCTAAGCACGATAAAATATCACAATGTCACCGACAAACTTGTATGCAAATATATTTTTTTAATTAGACATTTAACAAGCACAAATAAATAGTATTGAAATAAGATAATTTTATAATCTATACATATAATAGAATAGTACCTAATTAGTAACAAATTCAGCGTATTGTATACAGATCATAGGCCGCAAAACAATCGATGTTGGAATTTTGTGTGTTTGTCTGTATATCTGCGTGCACGCAAAAAGTACTGAACAGATTTTAACTTAATTTTGTGTAGTGATTTATTACTCCGGTCAACATTTAAGATACGTTTTATTTTGAGGGAAATCCCTCAATCTGACGGGAAAACACAATAGCCGTTGATCAAGTTGTCCTTTATACAAAAATTTACATGATAGTAGCAAGATCAAAAATTAACATATTTAACAATTTAATGTAGTAAAATCTCTCATTTTCATGGGAAAATAAAAAATTAAGTTCGGACGCTAATCACTGATCCATAATATTTATCTATACATAGTTGTTAGTATAAATCAAAGACGCTGTCTGTACCTCCTCTTATTTCTTCTAAACTACGCAACAGATGTTGATACGGTAATCATTAATAGAAAGAGTGAACAAGGAAGGTTTTTCTATTTATGCTTTGTAAATATTTTGTACGACATGGCTCAACCTACACGGTTTTTTACCAAAAAAAAACTATTTTCATACGATTATATGACTAACGCTAGTGAAACCTTAAGAGATACATCAAAATATATACTAGAAAATTGTAGGTCTTAAAAAAGCCTACAGAAAAGTCAGCAATAGCATGTGTCTATCTCTTATAGAACAATGTACGATAACTAGTATTTTTATCTATTTACAACGTACGTAGGGATGCAACCGAGCGCAGCGAGAATAAGGCGCTAGTTTGTGTATGAAATAAAGTATTTAAGCATTTGTCTAGAAAGCAGTGCAGACGCACCTATCATTAAATTAAAGATAATAAAAGATCGTTAAATTTTATGAACATTAATTATTTTGACCCTGAAAAAACAAAACAGTCTCTCCTCGCACGCGCAGCGCTCTACTACTCGTGGACAAATAAAAACTTGGCTACGTGTTGGAAATATCACGACCGCAATCAAAATAATATGCCAACGACCACACGTCTCTTTATATTTATAGATGAAATTATTTATTATCTATTTAGTAAACAAACATATAATATGTGTTATATATTTAGCATGTTGTGCATATATTTAGCAAGTCTCATGAGTTTTTTCACAATTACCCGTATTTTATTTACGCGAAGAACAAAGCTAATATTACAACGTAAGCTAAGGAATTTACTAAAACGTGACACAATGTGGTATAAAATCTAGAAGTTTAAAACAAAACAATGTTCGGCATTTGAAACGTGTGAAAAAGAAAACGAATATAACAACGGTTTTACTCCGAGTTGCGCGGATGTTTCAGTTCATTTCAATGACCTGAAGGTGCAAATTTTATTCCTCCAATGAACACCAATAAAAAAATATGCCAGTATCACTACATCGGGGGGCACGGCAGTGCCCCCGCCAAGTCGAGCTATACTTTACATCTTCTGTTTAGATTTCTCTAAATACTAACAAAAAATGGTGAATACATAAGCTTTTGTTTATAAAATTTAAGTATGATACTTTCTTAGACAAGAAATATTTGATATTTTAAATAAAACTATCTTTTCGGATTTTTTCACGGAAGAGACTTTCCCGTGACCATGATTGCTGTGTAGGATTAGTAGTTCCTGAGATTAGCGTAAACAAACAAACAAACTCTGCCCCTTTACAATATCGAATTCGAAACGTCGGTAAACAAAAAACAAAATAAATCCTCGAAAATATCCAAAAAGGTAGTTTTATTTAAAATTTAAGTATATTTTTTATTTATGTGCAGTGTCATATAGATCGTTTTGTTAATCTTTGAAGGGGAAAAACACAAGTTTGTATGGCTTTATGTTATCATTCAAACGGAACAACCATTAAAAAAGAGTTACTACGTTTCCATCTTTTCAGATTTTTTTAAGCAGAAGGTTTTTTAATTTTGTTAATTAATTTTTTTATTTACAACTTTTAACCAAATTAGACATTTGAAAGTTCATTTATATTTTAACAATGTCTTATCGTAAATTACTTTTAAACGTATACATCGTATATATTTTTGTGATCGCCTTTTATTAACCTTTTTATTAATTTTTATACCCTACTTGAAAGGCTTTGTAGAAGAAAATTTTTAAAGACACATAAATTGGCATCTGAAATCCGCTATTTTAATTTTTAATACTATCCATATAGTCTATAACACTCGCGTTATCGAGACGAATCCAAGTACGTATGGCATCAATATCGGTTACGCTGTTTAGTGATTACGAGGGAACATAGGATCGGATTTACATATAGGTCCAATACATTACCCTCCCTTGAGCTTAGCCGCAGTCGGGTAAAAATACATTTAAATACTTATTGTGTTGGATTTCGTAGTATAATTATACTATTTGTACCATTATTTCATAGTGTGTAGTATTTAGTATCATATTGCCACTATACTACGTAAAAATACCATAATTTTATCTTTAGGTCGACCGACTTGAATTATTGGTGAGTACTTTTTCTTTTTAATATTAACTCTACAATCTCGGGTATTTCTGAACGTACGGCAACACCAAATCAGGCAATGGCAAGGTAGGCGGGGTTTCCCCATGCGATGTTTTACTATTCCATCCGTTCTGACATTTTTGTCATGAACATAATTGGATTTATAAATAACTGCGAGAGAGACGATATCTCACGGTAATGTAATATGTAATATTACCGACATATCATGTTCATAGCAATATTTTGACTAAGTACAAAACTTGACAGTGAGTTGTTGCAGTATAGATACATTAGTATAAAGTTATAAACTAGTACAATTTTGTAGCGTGTGACGTGTGTACATTATTGTTTCTTACGCTATGACAATTTTGAGAATAAACTATTTTGTACTCGCAATTTGTAATCATGAGTGAAAGTGAGGGCGAATAAAAGTCACAAAGTGTGGTGTTTCGACGCCAAAGAAGAAACGCGTTGAAAGAGGCGATTTAAAAGTGAAGGAAAAACATAGACAACAAAAATACAGAGTCGAATGGGAGAGTGATCCAAAATTTAGTAAGTGGCTTACTCGTGATCCTCAATATAATTTCAAAGCACGATGTACAGTATGTAATGTTTCAATGATAGCCGCAAAGCATGGTTTATCGATTCATTCTGAGGGGAAAAACACGAGAAAAAATTATATTCATCATCAAAATTGTATATTGAAAGTAGATTTGTTTAACAAATTCTTTTCCATTGTTTTTTTTCTCTTTTTCAATTTTAATACTTATGCCAGTTTATTTCAATTCAATACAAAAACGCCGTAAAACGAAACGTGAAAAACATGAAACGTCAAACGTAGTATAATTTTGGACAAGTAGTATAATTTTATTCTCTATGTACAATATTTTTTGAGGCTCTGGATCCAACCCTTTTTTTTAATGTTGGGAAATGCATTTACGCACGAGGTGTGGGACTCACCGGCGTAATAAAGCCAGTACTACCCACTATAACCCAACAAAATCTTCCCCCGTCTTAATGGGGCGTCGCAGGATCGCTTACGCATTCAACTACTCGGCCCCGACGGCAGGTCTGCCGAAGCAGACCACCACAACCATGGGGTTGCTCCAAGGTCCACTCTGCTATTAGAGAAGTACCAGGAGCAACCCACATGGTACACCGCCCACCGAAGAGGGCCACCTCCTACCGCCCACTGAAGTGGGCCACCTCCCTGTGCGTTTCTTGGCTTCGCGCTCGGTTGGATTGCCGAGCACTACTGAGCCCCCCCCCCCTACCACGACAAGGCGAACGCACGTTGGGGGGGTCTGGATCCAACCCTGACTTATAATGACATGAAATCACAACTAGAAGCACATTACACATGTCGCATGCCGGACGTGCGCCGGCGGCACATCTCCTGGAGACAACTGCGCAATTAATCTGGACATTCTTCAGTGCTCTGGACCGATGAGCTCCATCAATTCAAGCACTTGATTCCTTATAAGCGTTACAACGCTATGTCTGCACGAAACGACGACATCTGTTCGGGCCTCTATCTAAATATCACTCAAAAGTTGAACTGTGTATTATACACTACACATTAGCGCTCAAAACATCTCTACCAAATTATTGAGATAACGAAATTTGGTTTTCCCTTGGTTTTATTGAAAGTCAGACTGCTCGCTGTCAAATAATATCTGAGCTAACACTCAAAAACTACTACATTTGATCCGATTTCATACCCCAGTGGTAGTGTAGAGTCCGAGCTCTGAATATTTGGAGGATTATAATTTAGCATTTAGGACTTATTTTATTTGACACATGCAAGTGTAAATAATGATAGAATGTGTTACTTTTAGTTAAAAAAAACCTTTTGAGTGTTTTTATTAAATGTACGCAATAACGTTTATATAAATGTCCATACTAGTAGTTAGATAAAGTTAGTACTTAACATATGCGCCTAAGCAATGTGTGTATGCCTTGCGTGATTTTCACTATTAACGCTTTTTGAGACTTGAGTTTGTTAAGTATATGAATATAATATATTAATAATTTAGCTATAATTACATAGAAATATATACTTTAAAATACATATAAACCTACTTACGGATAGACAGAGATAGATAGAGCCATATTTAAAACTTTTCGACAAATGTATACATACATTTATAATAGGTTTCCTATTAATTACCTGTACCACCCACTAAAACCTAAGGCATAAAATATGCATACTCGAACACGATCTTTCATTAAACCTTGAAATAAAGGGTTACTATGAGATCGAAAAATTCCGAATATAATAATACGGAACTTTATAATCGACAACTTTACTCTCATAGCTCACATTATGTACATAATATGATGTATGTATACATATATTCAGCCGATTCCTTCAAATACAAATACATACATACATACATACACAGCTTTCTATCTGTACTTTTACACGAAGAATTTTTTTTTATTAATTATAATGTCAATCTGACCGATTTCGGCCGCGGTTACGCAGATGCGCAGGAGATATTATAGTGCACAAGTACACGTACAGTCACAACGTGCACTCTCTATTCCTGTCACTGTCCGATGGGACGATATTTTAACACGACCGGAGGAAGTTAATGCGCAGGACCGACGGCTTTACGTGCTTTCTAAGGCACGGGGGTGAAGCACCGCCAACTTCCCAACTCTATGCCACTACTGAGAAAATCTTATTTATTTATTTATTTATTTTAGGGAAACAAACAGTACGATATTACATAAATAATTAATAATAATAGATGACACATAAACCAATGAAGTTTCCACAAATTAAACAATACACTTAAGAAGCAGACCAGAAAGAAAATGAGAAAAACAAAAAGCTAAACAATAAACTAAAAAATTACAAAATGAAACACTGCTTTACATGAATAATAAAAAAAAAATTAAAAAATAAGGAAAAATATAAAATACATAAATAACAGAAAAACTCACTAATTAAACTTGAACCGTCCCGGGAATCGAATCCAGGACCTCCGGATCTGCAGCCGTACATGCTAGTCAAAAGACCACCTGTCGCACTGTCTATAACCTAGCTAGGAACACAGCACCTCATCAATACTTCAACTGCAGTTTTAGTACACTATATGAAATAATTTAACTGACCGTAATTTTTGTAATTAGATTACTTTTTGATTTCGTTCTAAGATTTCATTTAGGTTTAATTTCGAGTAAAAGTCTATAGTGTGATGTGGACAAGTTACCCTATTATCTATTATTTGGTCTAAACAGTTACCGAATACTCTATCATAGCTAAATAGTACCACATAGCGTATAAGCGGTAGAAACACTAGTTTAATAGGTTCTTTATTTTATGGACCAAATGATTTAAATTTTTGCTCAAGGAAAAAATGTGCAAGATGTTTATCGAATAATGTATTTCAATTAATTAGGAATCTAGCACAGTGGCAGCAACGGGCGTGCGTCACTTGAGAGGCGTTACGTGGCAGCGACAGCGACAGCGTCACCGCTTTGAATCATATTATGAGGTAATACTTTAACTATTATATTAACATTTTTAATTTTCAACCGACTTCAAAAAGGAGGAGGTTCTCGATTCGGCAGTTCTTTTATGTTTGTTACCTCATAACAACGTCATTTATTAGCCGATTTGAACAATTTTTGTTTTGATTGAAAGTTTATACGTAAGTATAGTATAGTTTAATTCTATTTAATTTGAAAAAAAAAATACAACACTTAAGGGTAGAAAAATAGCTAATTAAAATTTTACCTACATCTAATTGTCATATTGACTTGAAACTTTGCAAGTGTTTCTATTTACGTTAGTATTGCAAAGATTCGGTATCGCTGACCTGATCTGATGGTAAGGCCAGAAGGTGAATAGGTGGAACTATTCAACTGCTAATAGTAGATTATACTTATAAGGGTTCGATATAATAAATAAAACTAATACTAATAATAAATAAAACTTTCGGATTATTTCGCGGATTCATTTTGATTTTTGGTTCCCGACGTTTCAAATGCTTTACAACAATCATGGTCACGGGAGAGACTGAGGTTTTAAACGTCTCAGAGGCATTATATACTCGTTACAGACAGTGTCTACCCACAATTTTACAAAATGATTTTGATTCTAAATATTTTAAAATCTTTACATAGTATAACATAAAGTCGCTTCCGCTGTCTGTTCGCTTCGATCATTTAAACTACTGAACGGATTTTATAATGCAGTTTTCAGCAATAGATAGAGTGATTCCAGAGGAATGTTTATATGTATACATGCGTAATAGTACAGAAAAGCTGAGAAATTCAAAGATTTGTATTTCATATGTATATCATTATTAATAAGATTTATAATGAGGTATATATATATAATAAAATTCTAACTGAGCCGAATCTGTACATTAAATATTTTTTGGAAAATCTTATTGAAATAGACATTATTATCGATACAGAGGTCGAATCTATAGTTTTTAGAATTTTTGTCTGTCTGTCTGTTACCGCATCACACAAAAACCACTGGAGGGATTTTGATGAAATTTGGTATGGTGATAATTGGTTATCCGGGTCAACATAAAGGATACTTTTTACCGCGACAAAATATCTCATTTCTAAGAAAAAATACAAAAACTGTAAGAGTATACTAATATGTAAAACCTAAGAATTTGGTTTTTGGTCACCTGAACGCGGGCGGAGCCGCGGGCAATGCTAGTGTATATATATATATATATATATATATATATATATATATATATATTATTTACATTTGCTTCAGATTCTGTAAAATATCTCGGGCATATAATACAGAATAATACAGTTCGACCAGTGAGGGATAATTTAATTTCAATAAGGGATCTCCCAATACCAAAATCTCAGAAAAATATCAGGCAACTTCTGGGAAAAATAAATTTCTACCGTGAATACATACCGAAAAGCTCAATTATGTTAGAACCACTTCATAATTTACTTAGAAAAAACAAAATATTCATTTGGTCAACTGAATGTCTAAAACAAATAATGTCTATAACAAAATTTTATTGCTTTTTAGGACGGAGCCCAACGTCTATATTTTGTTGATCCTCGTAGGAAATTATTTAGGTGAGTCACTTTTTTATTTTTATTACTTTGAGATATAAACAAGTTAACATGTTTCTAGATTATATTTTATTTTTATTCTAGGAGGGTATGTGGAAGCTAACGCAACGGGTCCGGCGCTGGTGGTGACGGCGAGCGCCCCCGGGGCCGGCGCGCCCGGGGACGCGCCCGCGCTCGCCGAGCTGGCCGTGCTGGCGCTGCAGGCGGTGGGCGAGCGCGCGCGCGCCGTGCCGCCGCCGCCCGCGTGCCGCCCGCCCGGCGCCGTGGACGCGCCGCAGTGCCGCGACGCCATCAGGGCAGACCTGCGGCGCGGCGGCCTGCACGTCGCGCTCGTCACCGTGCCGGCGGCTGCCGCTCCTCACTCCCATTACCTGCATGACCTCGGCCTCGATGAATTAGGTGATGTGGCGCCCCCCGCGCGTCGCCTGTGTGTCTCGCCAGCACCAGCACTCTCTCTTCTTGACCTCTCTAGTGAAAAGCTTGCTAATAGTTATTTCGTCTCATCTGATGATCTCGCGAATGTTTTAAATAAAACATTAATGAATTATGAATATTCTGAAAACGTGCTACAACCGGACTGGTGCACCGCCTTCGAAACAAAATGCGCAACTATATTTACGAGTGATATAGGTGAAGCGTTTGCATTGATGGACGTTGTGCGAAAAAATAAACTTTATGCAAGCGTGCATCCATTAGGGTCGGCATTGCCCACTGCAGCTGCAGCTCTAGGCTTACGCGCGTTAGTTTGCGACTGGAATGCGCAACAAGCTAATCGTTCTGTACTTGCTCTTCATACACTCGGACCGCCGCCTTGCGATGCTTTTTCGGACATTGACCGATGCCCGTTTGAAAGCCGCCGCTTTATGAAGCTAGTTAATTATAGAGCCCTAGCTCATTCTCATGCAGCTCTCCTGGCCTTACTGCAACTCCGTATAAAAAGCAATGAGCTATATGAGCTCACACAGCTAGCCAAAGTTCATGATTCTAAAACTGCAGCTGTAGAATTTCTCAGACGTCACCCCTTGAAAGGCCTAATTAGTGAAGTACGAGTTGCTGTACTCTTACCAGCAACTACACCGCGGGAAGCATACGATGGAGCATCTCTGGCTGCTGCGGCAGCACTTGCTGAAGCTGATCTCGAAAAAGATTGGTCTGGAATTAGATTTAAGGTAATTATAACAGAGCAGCATCATATTTTTACCGTTCATGTTCTGTTTACATCGATAAACATCTATAGGAATAAAAGAGACGTTGTAATTACCATAGGTAAAAGTTACTCAACTAAATTAAATTAAACTTAGCAATATTCCATATTATACCAATTTTAAATAAAACTATGTTTTCGGATTTTTTGTTCACGGGAGAGACTGAGGTGTTATATGTCTCGAAGGTATAGTTGTTACAGACAGCCTACCCACAAATAACAAAATAAAAATTGCACCAATTACCTTACAATATTTTTTAACTTTAAACATTTTTATATTTTTTTTTGTTTAGATTTATTATTTGATTGTATTATATTAATAACAGGATCCTGTTATTAATATAATAAAATCAAATAATAAATCTAAACATAACAGACAGGTAGATGTAGTAAGTTCTTACTGTGAGGATCAAAATGACAGCCATTTCAGATTAACATTTTTCATTTGTAAAAGTAAATAGTAATAGTGTTGCTTAGTAATTTGTCTTCTTAAATAATAGCAAACTAAATTAAAATTATTCTTAATTCAGCATTCGAAACTTCGGGAACCAAAAATCCAAATAAATCCGCGAAAAACTCCGAAAAGATAGTTTTATTTAAAATGTCAAATATTCGCGTAAATCTGACGAAGTATTATCATATTATACCCATATGAAGCTTAACTATGAGTTAAATAAAATGATTTCCAACTAATGACTCTCAAGGAAGACATGTCAGCGCAGTCATCGTCAAAAAAACGTAAATTTGTTTATTTTGCTACTTAAGAATAACATTCATCTTGGTCGTATACAATATAATGTATAAATTTCCTTGCTGACAGGTTCAAACACACGACGACAGATGCGACGCTACCACCGCCGTCCAGTACTTGTACTCTGCGCCGAGCGACGAGTACGACGGCCTGTCGGCCCTAGCGGGGCCGGCGTGCAGCGCGGCCTTCACGGACGTGGCGCGCCAGAGCCTGGAGTTCCGGCTGCCGGCGCTGGCGTACAGCGCGCAGGCGCCTCCACCGGGCGCGCTGGCGCTGCTGGCGGCCGGGGACGCGCGCCGCGCCACCGCCGCGCTGGGCGCGCTGCTGGCGCGCCTGCGCCGCCGCCGCCTGTCCGCGCTCACCGAGCCCGCCACGCGCGCCTCCTTCGCAGCCGCACGCCTGCAGACCGACCTCGTCGCGCATCTGGAGCTACCCAGTGATAGACCGGACTACGATTACAATATATTCACTAAGGTATGCCTGCTTTACTATACAATTACAATGTAACATAAACACCTGTATTAGTATTTAAATGCTATTAGCACCTAGCCTTCTTAAAGTAAAAAAGAAATCGCACAATAGAAAACCATTCTTTTTCAAACTTCAAAATTTAAATACTGTTGAACTGGTTTCTATTATTACACATATCCCTAAAATATTTCCCAAAATTATTTAAAAAATTAAATGTCTTACTTTGTCCGTTTAGAAGACTAGCAGCTTAAATGCCTAACGGTAGCTTTTGTCATGTGTGTTACACCTGTGTGTGTGCGAAGAAGAAACAAATATACACAATATACAAACTTTCGTAATTCTAATAGTAGGTGATGTTTGTGTCAGTGGGCGGAGCATGTGGCGCAAGTGAACGCGCGCGTGATCTACGTGTGCGTGGAGGACGTGCGCGCGGTGCGGGCAGCGCTGTGCGCGGGGCACGAGGCGGGGCTGCGGCCGCGCGCTGGCGTCGTGTGGCTGCTGCCGGCCGCGCAGCCGGTCGCCGCCGCCACCACCGCCGCCGCACCCTGCGCGCCCGAGCACCTGCGTGAGATGCTCGACGGGCATCTCAGCGTAGCGCCCGACTGGTTCGTGCCATGGCTCGAAGAACCACAAAGTGTTAGTCATCACTTAGTTACTTTATTTTCATATACTATACTTTTTAAACATTAATTTTCATTTATTTCGAATACATGTAAAATTAAAAGTAGAGATAGCTTTTTCTTAAGAATAAAAAAAATGCTTTAGGTTTGGATTTTTATAGAAATATATAGATTGTACGAAACCTTTATTTTTAGTCATAAAAGTAGTGCTGCTACACTATTACTATATATCATGGATGACAAATAAACTATATATACTTTTACAAATGAAAAATGAAAAATATTAATCTGATAAGCTGTAATTTTTGATCCAATCATATGCTGTCATTTTTGATCAAAATGACAGCTTATCAGATTAATATTACCATTTGTAAAAGTATATAGCAATAGTGTTGCTTAGTAATTTGTCTTTTAAATAATAGCAAACTAAATTAAAATTGTTAACCTTAATTAATTTTAACTTTTTAAATTACACACAGAACAATTACATGGCTTAAATAATTAATACTCTATTTTATATTTTTCTTTATGGTTAAAAATATAATAATGGCAACACTAAATATAGATTACTAATTAATATTTTTAAAATTGTAATAATTATAGTAATAACAGCAAAAATTAAATAGATAATATTCCATATTCAATTATAAAACTAATTAAAATTATAAAAATGTTTAAAGTTAAAAAATATTGTAAGGTAATTGGTGCAATTTTCATTTTGTTATTTGTGGGTAGGCTGTCGGTAACCACTATACCTTCGAGACATATAACACCTCAGTCTCTCCCGTGACCATGATTGCTGTAAAGCAATCGAAACGTCGGGAACCAAAAATCCAAATAAATCCGCGAAAAAATCCGTAAAGATAGTTTTATTTAAAAAGTTATCAGTTTATTAGACACGTATCTAATTTTACGGTATATTTACAGAATAAAACGGAATCAAAAGAAAATCATATCAAAGAAGATAAAAATACAAGTGTTGATGACATTGTAGTTCGTAAGTGGCGTATGCGATGGTATAAATACTGTCGATTCCAAGGCGGCGTGTGCTTGCGGCCCGGCCCGCATGCCGCGCTGCTGTATGACGCGCTGCGCCTGTGGGCCGCCCAGCTGCAGCGGCTCTTCCGCGAGCAACCTAAAGCACTCTACAATTTGCACGACCCTGGACTTCTAAGGTACCTATATTTGTGTCAAAAATAAAATTGTACTGACGAAACCCAAATTCTTTTATACATTGTGAGAAGTAGCCTCTCAGCAAACCTATCGGTGCATATATTACAAAATACAGTATTATAACTAGTTAGCTATTTACGCTGTCATTAATGATTCTTAAACAGTTTTTTCTTATTTCATCGAAATAAGATAAACAGCCCAGTTTAATTTTAATCAGTTTAGTTAATTTAAAGATGAGAGTACGACGAAACATTTTTTACTGCTAATGAGAAGCTAAAAGAGAAATACAGTAAAAAATAATAAAAAAAATTTCTTTCAGAGCTCTGGTAACAAATACGACAAAGAGTAATTTTAAAGGACTAACAGGAGAATTTAAATGGGAAGCAGCTAGAAGCAGTGGAGATAATGGCACAGCATTCGCGCGCGTGTCGCCGATGCTACTGCTGCAGTGGGACGGGCGCCGGTACCGAGCGGTGGGCCGCTGGGAACGAGGCCGGCTCGAGCTACACGAGGAGTTGCTGCACTGGCGCACGGCCGATGGCCTCTTGCCTGATGATGGCAGTGAAAAATGTGTGCTGCAGCCGATGGCCGATTTTTTTCACAGCGAATGTCGAACTGCTTTCATAATTCTGGGTGTACTTCTATTTACACTATTAATAGCGTCGATTGTTGCGACAGCAATATATTGCAAGAAGCGCGTCGAGCGTAAATATCGAAACCGTCTGCAAGCTCTAGGATTGCGGTCAATTTTACCGAAAACTATTGGACCAGACCGCTGGGAAATACCGCGGGAACGTGTCGTCATCAACCGCAAACTCGGCATGGGGGCATTCGGCACTGTGTATGGTGGACACGCTCTACTGGCAGAAGACCGCGGTTGGACCGCTGTAGCCGTAAAAACTCTCAAAGCCGGTGCGAGTACTGAGGAAAAGCTCGATTTTCTTTCTGAGGCAGAAGCTATGAAACGTTTCGATCACAAAAACGTGGTCCGACTCCTAGGAGTAGTGACGAAGACTGAACCTGTCTGCACCGTGATGGAATTTATGCTGTACGGTGATTTGAAAAACTACCTCCTGGACCGACGGCACCTGGCGTGCGCCATCGCCGGCGAGGACCCGGAGGAGGAGGTGTCCGCGCGGCGGCTGACTGGCATGGCGCTGGACGTGGCGCGCGCGCTGTCGTACCTGGCGCAGCTGCGCTACGTGCACCGCGACGTGGCCGCGCGCAACTGCCTCGTCAGCGCGCGCCGCGTCGTTAAGATCGCGGACTTTGGCATGACTCGACTAGTGTTTGAAAACGATTACTACAGATTTAGTAGAAAAGGAATGCTTCCGGTGCGTTGGATGGCCCCCGAGAGTCTGGCTCTGGGAGTGTTCTCCCCCGCCTCTGATGTTTGGTCCTTTGGAGTATTGCTCTATGAAATAGTCACATTCGGATCGTTACCATTCCAAGGACTCAGCAACAGCGAGGTGTTGGCACGAGTGAAGGGAGGTCAAACACTCGAGCTCCCACCTGGATTAAAACCCCAACTGTAAGTAAAATACAAAATACACATATTTCAATTTTATTGTACTCTTCTCGTATTTGTTTTTCGTTTTCATTATCTCCTAAACTATATAACTAAATTACATAGAACGTAAAAGCTAGTATTTCTGCTATAATTACAAAATTTGAGAACTATTAAAGGTACAAACATATTTTCGTACATTATTTTCGCTTTTAAAAAACCGTTAAGGCGATGTATGCCAAGAACGCAATATTTTTTTTTCGGATCGGCTAGAACACGCAATACAAAAACAGCTTATAACCTATTATAGAATTATTAAAATCGGTTTGAAGTTTCAGAGTTTATCGATTTCAAACAAACAAACAAATCGTTCCTCTTACCAAATCAGTATAATTGAAAGTAGTACTTACTATAGAAAAAAGACACATGAACTACAATGTATGTTTGTTTTAGATGTTTTTAATACAATTATGTACTTACTAGCATTGCCCGCGGCTCCGCCCGCGTTCAGATGACCAAAAAGCAAATTCATAGGTTTTACATATTAGTATACTCTTTATTTATTTATTTATTAAGAGGACAACCAACAAAAGATACATTAAAAACGGCATAATATTCAGGTGTTAACAATTTCATTTATGTTCTTTTAGTTATTACTAATAATAGGTTATCACAGCATGCTCTTTTTTTTTAAATCACGTCAATAACATTTAATTACAAAATGGAAATTTAAAATTAAATAATAATAATAAGTTAATAAATAAAGTTGAAATTAAATTATAAAATTAATAAATGACAATTTAAATATAAAAAAATACATAATTAGACATAATATAATTAGAATAAATTAGTTAATAATATTTAAATACTCGTAGTCAGTCCAATAAAACAAGAAAATTCAATTTCGGATTAGAATTAATAGCAACGCACAAAACAAAGTAATACAAAAAAATATATCATAATTTATCGAAGTAACGATTAGCGATAAGTCGAAGGGTTACAATTCTGATAAATATTCGATAACTTTGCGCTTAAATTGAGGTAGTCTGTCATGGCATATGTCTACGCTTAAGATTTTTTTGTGATACTATTGTATAATCTCGACATTCTTGGCACAGGGGAATTCTTTCCCAAGTAAGTTCTGTAGACACCTACTTCTAACAAGTTGCACGGATGTCGCGGTATTTTAGGTGGGACGTGGAATGCAAATTTATTAAAAGTATCAGGACAGTCAACTTCATTATTTAAGACTTTATAGAGAAAAGTCATTGCTACATTTCTCTCCTATTTTTAAGACTATTAATATTATAATGTTTAAGTCTTTCATCATAGCTATTTAATTTTAATTTATATCTATATGATAGTTGCTGCAACAAACGCTTTTGCGCAAATTCCAGTCTAGTGGTGTGGCTTTTCTTGTAAGGTGTTGTTGGTGATATGAGAGAACAGTATTCAAGTCGACTGCGAACAAGACTATTGAATAACTTTAAAGTTGTTATTGGATTCTTAAAGGTTTTCGAGGACCTCATAATAAAACCAAGAGACTTATTGGCCAAATCGAGACAATGGTCAATATGAACAGACTTGTGTACTGGAACAATTCTAATTATTTTCCATTGGTCGGGAAACAGGCCATCTTTTAAAGATCGATTGAAAATAAGGAATAATGGCAAGGAGAGTTGGTACGCGCAATTGGATAAAAATAAAGGTGGTATGTTGTCTGGTCCCGCCCCCTTATTTAAGTCAAGTCTCTGTGATTTTTTATAAATCAAGTCTCGTGTCAATTCGAAAGTGTCAACATCACTAGATGTATGAATGGCCGTACCTACATTTCTGAACTTACTAGTAATTGTGTTATCATTCTCGTATAAGGATGAAAAGTGTTTCGCAAAGAGATCGCATATAGAGTCAACTGTTGTAGCTTTAGTTCCATTGCATGTCATCACGGGTGGATATGCACTCTTGGTTTTATGGAGTTTCTTTAAATGGGTCCAGAAATACTTTGGGTTTTTGCCTATTTCGTTTTCTATATAACAAATGTAATTGTTATAACATAATGTTATAAGCCTATCACAATCTCTTCTCAGATAGCGAAATTCTAACACATCCAATGGATTATGATCTCTTTTTACCTTCAAATGATATTTATACTTACGATGAAGCAATTTTATTAGTTGGGGGGTATACCAGATTGGATGAGTATTCATATTATATTTTGTTATTCCTCATAGGCACATGTCTCTTTATTACTTCCCTAATGATCACATAGTATACTTCGATATGTATAGTAAATGAAAACTACCAATCAGTTTTTTTTTACTTTTTAGTACTTTTGTTTGAAGTCGGTTTTTATTTTTTTGTTAAAAAGTTTTTTTTGTTACATCTCCCGTCTCACTTCCTCATATTCTTTTTCCATAAATGATATAGATTCAGTGACTTGGGTAATCTGGCTCAATATTTCGGATACTTTATTACTAAGTTGAGTTTCTATTTTTGATTAAAATGCACCGAAAATTGTGTTTAACTCTTGCCTAATGATTTGTCGAACATCGGCGGATGTTAACGAGGAGTCGGTGTCGGATGCCTTAGTAAATTTCTGTTTATATAAATAAGTTATAAGACTGTTACATTCGAAGAGGAGTCATGTTTATCGTTGGCAAGAGTGGCTGCTGCTCGAACAGGTGTGCTTGAGTTATCTAAGCCGGCTCTGGGACGATTGCATTCAGGACACAGCCAGTTCGCTTTAAAGTCATTAGTAACTTCTTTGTACTGTAAAGTAGTAGTCGTTGCTATACATGCATAGTGATATTTCTTCAAACCTTGCGAGCATATTATAAATTCGTTTGAGTTCTGTTGACGGTTGCAACATTCGAATTTCATCTTATTAATTTTTGTCTTCGTTAATTCATTCATACTGCTTAATAATATTCTTTAATATTCACAGAAAATAAATATTAAAATAATTTATAAAACTTTACTACCTCGGAACCGGTGTTCGATCTCAGAATCGCCGCGCTGGTACCTACCTTTAAGGCACTAGACCAACAATTGACTTAACGCAATTTCTTGTATCATATACTCGCTTAGGTGAGCTCTACATAGGGTCATTGTCGTAGTTGCAGACGTCATTAACACATTATATCACTACTTCACTATTTTTTAAATATTAATTTTATTATAGTTACACAGTTATTTTGTATTTATATTTATGTTGCAAGAACACTAGATTACACCTTCGTCTTCTGCGTTTATACACTTTGTCTTTGCACTTTAACAGTTCTGTTTTATGTAAAAGTTTTTATTAAAAAAATATATGTATAGATATATTAAGTATTTATAATTGTAAATATCGTGATTTTTGTTGGAAATTACTACTTTAATTAAATTAAAATTATTTTAGTAACGGAGATGACTTGACGTGTGTCGCACGCGACAGACTTACATTGCAGTTTTTGTATTTTTTCTCAGAAATGAGATATTTTTCCGCGGTAAAAAGTATCCTATATGTTGACCGGAATAACCAACTATTACCATACCAAATTTCATCAAAATGGTTTCTGTGATACGGTAACAGACAGACAGACAAAAATTTTAAAATCTATAGATTCGGCCTCTGTATCGATAATAATGCCTGTTTCAATAAGATTTTCCAAAAAATATTTAATGTACAGATTCGACTTAGTTAGAATTTTATTATATGTATGGATTATGAAATCTATCATCAAGTTTACATAATAATAAACAATATTTACTTTATATAAACAATAATTTGGCACAATTTCCATAACTTTTTACAGTGTCGTGTAATTAATATCTAGTTATAGCAAAGTGTCTGAAACTGACAGACACGCGACTGATCTAGTAGAATACTAGCGACTCACCCCCGTTGCACTCGGGTCCACCACAAGTTACGTTTTAACGTTTAGTTACCAAATTTCATCAAAATCTGTCCAGTGGCTTTCTCGTGTGCGGTCACAGACAGACAGATAAAAAATCTATAAACTCCATAGTTTTTAGATTTTTCATATTCCATATTCGGCCTCTGCATCGATAATAATGACTATTTCAATAAGATTTTCCAAAAAATATTTTATATACAGATTCGACTTAGAATTTTATTATATGTATAGATTATCTGTGTTAGATGTACATACGAGTATAACTCTTTGGTGCATGTCCTCAGCGAGGGGCTGATCAAGTCATGCTGGCAGCAGGAAGCGCGCGCGCGGCCAACGGCGAGCGCGGTAGCGGCGTTTCTGGCGGACGCGCCGCGGCTTCTGGCGCCATGCCTCGACGTGCCGCTGGACGCGCTGCCGCTGGGCGCGCCGCCGTGGCCGCCGCGCGAGCGCGCCCCCGCGCGCTGGCTGTCGTGGGCCGCGCCCGCCTCGCAGGCCACCGACACCACCTACCTCAGCGCCGACGCGCCACGCGAGACCGACCGCTTCCTGCCCGGCGCCGCCGACAGCTGACCCGACCGTACTCAAATATATTATCATTCCGATACTTTCTAGTCAATTATATCTTAAACTTAGTGTTAAGCTTAACTTAATGATGTAACTATTTATTATATACGTAATTATAGCTTTAAAACGGTATTGGATTTGTTGTAGGCGTATTGTTAATCATGATTAAAACGTACGTTACAAAAAATATTGTTTGAAAAATATTTGACAATTTGAATAAAAATAATTGTAAAACAAATTCTGTTTATTTTATTCACATTCCAGTTGTTTATGTAGTAGCAGAACCTTATCATCTTATGAGCGTTATAAGTACACCTCTGAAATGACAATAGTCCATAGACTATTGTTATTAAAAACGCGTACTTTCAATTCCAGTGACATACGTAGTAGGAGACGTAGAGAATGGACTGAACAATACTGTCATGAATGAGATAACATCATACCGGCCAATTTCCCTATTACCTATCATGTCTAAACTATTTGAAAAACTTTTTAATAACAGGATAAAACTAATATCAGAAACTAAGGGTCTTATTCCTGGTAACCAATTTAGGATTCAGGGAAAACCACTCTACAATAGAACAAATCCATAGAATCATAAATATCATCTAGAAAACTTTAGAGCAAAAACAAGTCTACTATACTGTCTTTCTAAACGTCGCACAGGAATTTGATAAGGTATGGCATGATGGCCTTGTACTAGAACTAAAAAAATGCTACCTAAGTCATATTCAGACATACTAGAATCGTTTATATCAGACAGAGTATTTAGAATAAGGCACGAAGATGCCTACTCTGAAATTAAAAGTATCAGAGCTGGGATGCCACAAGGAAGCGTATTAGGTCCTGTACCTTTTTACACACCAGTGACATCCCCGAATTAGAAAATAATACCCTCGCGACCTTTGCTGATGACACTGCCAGAATGGCGGTTGGAAATTCTCACGTAGAATCAGCAGAAAAGGTTCAAACAACGGTTAACAAAATCCATGGCTGGAGATTTCAACGGAGAATTAAGTTAAATGAATTAAAAACGATTCATATAAACTTCACAACAAAAAATAAGATTACCAGCCAATATTTATTAACAATAACATTATACTATATGAAAATACAGTAAAGTATTTGGGAATGACGCTTGACACGAAGCTACGCTGGAAAGCTCACGTTAAGAAGAAAAAAGAAGAATAGAACAATTATTGTATAATCGTGTTTCTCATTTTATTTCTGAAAGAAAAAAAAAGAAAATTTAGTATTAATGAAAAAAGTATCAATGTGGGGGCGACAAAATCCGAGCGTAGAACTGAAAATCCTACTATTTTATTTGTAGAACGATTTAATAACTCAATTATGCATATTTTTAATAATAAATACTATGAAAATAGGCAGTGGTAGCCCAGTAGTAACGCGCTCGCTTGGGAGACCGAGTGAAGCGGGTTCAAATCCCGGGTCTCGCACCTCGGATATTTTCATGTGGGAATCATTTCCAACATGATTACCCTTTGTCTAAACGGTGAAGGAAAAGATCGTGAGGGAACCTGCATGTCTGAGAGAACTTAGCAAGCTTTCGAAAGACATGTGAAGTTCACCAACCCGCACTTGGCCAGCGTGGTGGACTATGGACAACATTTTTTTCTTGTTTAATGTTGTATTATCTCAAGATTAAATAGTATATCAACCTGTTAATAATAAATTTTAGACTATCGCCGTTTTGACATATTCCGTATGAAAACACAATTGTATCAACCACTATCAAATTCTCGTAGAAAGAATAGTTGGGCGTCTCGCCAAAATGAAGCTACTCACAAAGTTTTAGCTTGTTATTTTTGTAAATGTATAATATAGCTTGTTTCCCTGTACAAACTTTCATCCCCATTTTCACCCCCTTAAGGGATGATTTCCGGGATAAAAAGTACGGAGTCCTTCCCAAAGTCTCAAACTATCTTCTTACCAAATTTCATCTAAATCGGTTCAGTAGATCCAGAGATTACCACCTACAATGTAAGTACATTGTAGGTGGTAACAAACTCATAAACTCACAAACTTTACCTCTTTATAATATTATAGGGATATTTGTAGACTATAATGCTTATCACAACTCAATGTTAAATTAACACAAATCAACGTATTTTTGAGGAAAATACATTGTTTCCTTTTCACCCTTATTTTATATATAGAATATTATTAATTTACATATAGAAAATTATTATTAATTTATACATATAATAAAGAAGTAAAAAAAAAGTGAAGAAAAATTCATAATTTAATTTTTTTTAACTTTCAACATTTTAATTAAAAATTTCGATAATAGGGCGGCATTTTTACTGTACCCAGGGGCGGCGCTAAGGTTAAATCCAGCCCTGACTGCAACGTATTTTGTACAAGTATAGACCCCAGTGGCGAAGGGTGAAAGTTTAGCAGAGGTAAGTCGTTCCAAAAAAAAACAGACAAAAAACATTAATATACAATTTTTATATATCAATGCAAAAAAAAAGAAATGTAATTGTGAAGATATTTTTTCTCTTTATAAGGCTATTGTGTTTTTTTTTGCATACATGTAAAATATTCAAGCAAAATACATTTAAAACTTAATAAGATAATAAAACCTCATAAAATATTTTTCTTAGGTGGCGTTATTAACGTCATCTATGAAAAATCATTACGCATCACTTAGTAAGTGAAAGTACTGAAATTTAATTTTATCTACACAACCTGTATTTTTTGGATTTAAATATTTTTTTTTGTTGATTTTATATAAATATATTTAATATAAATACCGCCATCTACTTACATCTCTTTGACCTACTTCCGTCTTTCTTACTGATGAGATTGATTTATTATTTTATTGTATTTTATTTATCAAGCCAAATTGAACGAAATTTATGAAAAACACGAAAAACTAACAATAAGAAGGGCAGGCTTTATAACTATAATATAGTATAATAGCAATACGTCCGTTTTTTAAAATGTCTGCATAAGCTATTGTTATGAAACTTAACTATTAGACGTTAACTGTTAGTGATGAAGATTGGTCCGACCGTTTTCGGTCCTGGCGACCACTTCGACTCCTAGTCAGCTCGGCGCTGATGCGTACGAAGATGGCTAATATAGCCGACCTTCTTAATAAACCCACGTGCACACCATGCAGGTACTATACTATACTATATATACTACGCAGGTATTTAAGATGGAACCTGTATAGCGTGTGAATGTGGTGACGGTACACGCACCACGCCTCAGAGGAATATATGAGGTTTGGCAGCACTATCGCCATGTAGACAGATTTCTTAGTGGCAAGTTGCAAGTCATGTGAGCAGAGGATCGATAGCATGGGTGCATATTTTGATTGATAGAAATAAAAATTATTTAAAATAAAAATAACTTTAACACCTCCAGGAGGTTTAGAAATTTTCTAAGAAATTAATTAAATTTCTAAGAAATCTAATGTTAACATTAATTAAATTTCTAAGAAATCTATTGTTAACTGTAACGCCGGCGTATCCGCGGCTGTGGAGGGACATAACTTTCTGTATATTAAACGGCAATTTCATTACCTAATATTATTATTGTCTATTTTATACTTACCGTTAAGACGTACCTAGGGACGAATCGGAGCGAAGCGAGGGTGTCACAGTCAGTTTTCTGTACACAGTACATGTATACTGTTTATAAAAAATAATAGTTTATAAATAATATAATTAATGAGATATAAGTCTATTGTATTTAAAATAAAGATAACACATGCTGTGCCCGCTAAATGAGATTCTATTGTTTTAAATATAAAATTGTTACCTTTAATGTTGGGTTTACGATAATATCTAAATACTTAAAATGTACTTGTATGGGCGTTGCTTTGTATGGGCTGGCACCGACTTCGAAAATATTTGATTAGGTATGTATTTAATAGGTAGGCTTTAATTACTTAACCAAAGCACACCGACTTCGAAAATATTTGATTAGGTATGTATAGTAAATGAAAACTACCAATCAGTTATTTTTTACTTTTTAGTGCTTTTGTTTGAAGTCGGTTTTTATTTTTTTGTTAAAAAGTTTTTATTTTTCCCTTTTTAGTGCAGACAGTAGTAGCAAAGTAAGAATTCTAACGTGTTAGGCTTGTCGAATCAAACAAAATAAGCCCAAACTCAAAGTATCTACAATTAGCCGTTGAAAAGTTCCACCTATCCACCTTCTGGCCTTACCATCAGATCAGGTCAACAATACCGAACCACTGTACTATCAACGGAAATAGAAACACTTGCAAAGTTTCAAGTCAATATGACAATTAGAAATAGGTTAAATCCATCATTAGCTATTTTTCCAGCCTTAAGGGTGGTATTTCTTTTTTGAAATTTAAATGGGACGAATCTGGAAGTATACACTTTCAAACAACACAAAAATTGTCCAAATCGGTTTATAAATGACGGAGTTCTGAGGTAACAAACATAAAAAAAACTGTCGATTTGTGAACCTCCTCCTTTTTGAAGTCGGTTGACAATGTACGTTTGTAATAAATCACATTGTAAGCTTGTTTGTGGTCCTAACTAATAAATAAAACAGAGCAGTTTACATGCGCGATAATTACCTAATTGATCCAATCTAAACCTGGCTCGACTGAAGAAGTGCTACCATCTCACAGAACATGAATCTCAAATAGCAATGCCTTAGCTGTAATGTTTCGTTCGAAGAGTTACGTCGCTAAACGACCAACTCATCTCCTACATATTCTTCGCAGTACTTATTCATTCCCTTCCTGTCAGCAGGTGATGCACGAGAGTTCCTGGTACAATGAATACTGCTTCCAAATAGGCAAATTGGAATATGCTTTTTGCCACTCCTGCGGTACAGGGAAAAAATATGGCAATAACTTCTCGTACATAAAAAAGCTTTGCTAAAAGTTTCTACGCTACACGATTATTTTGTTTTTATTTTATGGTATGGTATGGTATGGTATGTTCGGGCTGTTTTCCGCAACTCGACGACTATGCGCCTATTTTGCTTTTATTGTATTATGCTGCATGTTGACGCAACTAATAAATAAAAATATATCTATATATATAAAAGAAAGTCGTGTTAGTTACACTATTTATAATTCAAGAACGGCTGAACCGATTTGGCTGAAACTTGGTGGGGAGGTAGCTTAGAACCAGGAGACGGACATAGGATACTTTTTAGCCCGTTCGACTGCGTTCCCGTATACAAGACTCAAGAACGGCTGGACCAATTTTTATGATATTTGAATTTTTGGATTTCTCTCATTCCGGAATAGGTTAATACCTAAGTATTAAAACGTCAGAAAAATTAACGAAAAAAAATATTTATATGGCTAATAACACTGGCTAATAACTATTTATATCTATTTAAAACGTACCTAGCGACGAACCCGAGTGAAGCGAGGGTGAGCCGCAAGTACCTATCTAAAAGAATGACCTTACCGAATTTTGAAATTGCGTTCGAGATAAAATACTCGGCCCTCAATAACGTCAGAGCAACGGAATCACCCGTAAGTTGGTCTGAAAATAATTTCCCGAATAGTGCTCGCGGCGGCTATAATAAAAATACTCAAAAAAGATTTTCCAGAATGCCTGAGTAAATAAATAGGGCAATAGTGCAATTAATGACTTCTTACTAAAAGAACATATACTTTCTTAGATTTACGCGAATATTTGTCATTTTAAATAAAACTATATTTTCGGATTATATCGCGGTTTTATTTTGATGTTTGAAATTGTGGTCAGGCACTGTCTGTAACAAGTATACATAACGCCTTTGAGATGTCTAAAATCTTAGTCTCTCCCGTGACTATGATTACTGTATAGCATTCGAAACGAAAAATCATAATAAATCCGCGAAAAAATCCGAAAAGATAGTTTTATTTAAATCTAAGATTTTTTTGTAATTAAATCTTAAATGCAGACTCGGAGTCAGCGAAAAAAAAGTTACTTGATAGTCTTACTCATAAAGCTCTTAGTCTTATGTCCGTAAAGTTGACCCCGCAATTTCCGAATTTCCAAGAAATAAAAAATGTGCTGAAATGTGCCCAGCACACATTGGGCCATAATGTGTGCCACTTAAAAAAAATTACACAAAAAATATTTTTTATGAGGAGGACCTTTTTTCAATCGTTTTTTTCAATTTAATCGTTTTTCTTTATGTGTTTTTGTGAACGTTTTTTTAATACGTAAACGTTTAAATACATATGGTTTTTTTGTGTTTATTTTTAAATGATTGAGTACACTTATGCCGCTCTTACAATTAATAATAATTTCTAGTACCTCTACTGCTAAAACAATAATTAAGTCCATGACACATTCTCGAACAAGTGCGTAATAATATTGAATTTGATTTATTTGAATTAGGTAAATATAGTTAACTATTAAAGTACCGACTAATGGTTATTTAAAATAACATAATTTTCGACTTAACATCGGAACCCTATGGAACAAGGATAGAAATCGTTAGAGGAAAACTGATAAAAGAATTATTATACGATTCAAATAAACAGTAATCGCCTGAGCACGGCAAGGTCGTGACGCGGACATGTGGCGCAGCGTGGCGGTGGCGCTGCTCGTGCGGGCGCTGGCGGTGGGCGCTTCCTGCGCGGACCTGCAGCATAAAATGGCACTTAATTTTCGTGGTAACAATCAATTAACGCAAATTCACTCTATATAATTTGTCTACTCTTACTTTTAACATTTGTTACTTTACATACTTCTTAGTTATTTAAAATTGTTTATAAAGAACCACTTCGGGATTATTAATGTAATACAATTTAAATAAGGTCGATTAAGCCGAAAATTGGCGAACATTTTGAACAGTTGATCAATCGCCTTTTTATTTTAATTCGATTAAATTCACACAAAATCAAGTCAATAACAATAACTGTAGTTTTCCTTATTCCATTCTTAACAATCAAAACTTTCGGTCCCTTATAAAGTTTGAGTTTTAAAATATTCCGTGATCTACATATATTTTTACTTAAAATATTTATTATTATTATTTTTTAGCTGAATGTCTAATAAATAATTATAATCAATAGCCAACTGCATCTGAAGCTTATATACTATGTACTCAATAGAACAGATATTGGTCTGTTTCAGATATATATTATATTCCTTTAAGAATACATAGTTGTTTTAAAACAACAATCTATACTAGTCTATACTCTATACTAATATTATAAATGTGAACGTTTGTGAGTATGTATAAATGTTTGTTACTCTTTCACGCCAGAACGGCTAAAACGGATCTGAATGAAATTTAGCACAAAGATAAATTATAGTCTGGAATAACACATAGCTGCTTTTTATCCCGAAAAAATATACAGTTCCCGAGGGATACATTTGTTTTTACTTTTCACAAACACACATTAAACGTATTTTTTTAAACTAAACAAATACCATAAATACATTATAAATAAATAATATTTTTAAATAGAAGCTTTGTAATAAAACAAAAATGTGAAATAAAGAAATAAAAATTTTGAGTAACATTTGTCATATTTGTATAATCTATCTATACTATAATAAAACAGTAGAGGTCGAATGTCTGTACATAGCAAAAAAAAATGCTAAAAACCGAGTCAGGGGGATCTAAGAAGACAAATAGAACAAATCCAGTTTTTTTTTCAAATTTTTTGTTTCTCTGTCTGTTTGTCTGTTTGTACGGGCTAATCTCCGAATCTATTAGACCGATTTAAATGAAATTTTGCATGGTGGTACCTTATATTCCCGGGCAACATCTTAGATACTTTTTATCTCGGAAAATTAAATAGTTTCCGTGGGAGAGTTAAAAAACTATAATAAATTATACAGCTTAGTACACAAAAACTACTGATTGGATTTTGATGAAACTTTACAATAATATAGGTCATACATCAGAATAACAAATAGGTTACTTTTTATCCCGGAAAAATATACAGTTCCCGTGGGATAGATGTTTTCGTTTATTTGTATCGTATTATGTACACAACATAAACCCCAAAACAATAGTTATCAAAAAATTTGTCTATTTCTCTGTTTGCCTGTATGTCTGTGTGTCTGTTTTTATATGCGCGTTTCACGCGAAAAGTAATGAATCGATTTTAACGTTTGGTGAAGTGATAACTTATTACTCGAGTCAACGTTTAGGATACCTTTTACTTCAAGAAAATCTTTCTTTCTCACGAGAAGATACAATAACTGGTTTTATCGAGCCCTCCCTAGAAACCTTCCGCTGGCTAAACCTTAAGACATACATATATCAAAACAATATACTAAAAAGTTGTAGGTCTTGAAAAGTCCTACAGGAAAGTTCTGAATAGTATATGTATATCTCCTAAGCAATATTTATTCTTATCTATATATAATAAAACTAACTTAGTCAAATCGATGTGCGCATTTCACGCAAAAAGTACTGAACTGAGTTTAACTAAATTTTGTATAGTGATAACTTTGTACTCGGGTCAACATTAAGGACACCTTTTACACTTTAGTTTTACACTATAGTACACTAACTTATACATTTTAGTACACAACAACTTATGCACCTAATTTAGTAAAATTTGGCATGCTGATACATTATATTGTCGGTCAAAGAACAGGTTACTTTTCATCCCGTAAAAAATCCTTTTTTTGTTTGTTTGTAACGTATGTACACAACTAGAAAAACACTAATAGAGATCTATTAGTTCCCACGGAAACCATTCATTTTTCCGGAATGAAAAGTGAAACTTGTTGTTTGATCGGAAATATAAGGTATCAGAATGTTAAATTTTACTAAATTAGGTGCATAAGTTGTTATGTACTAAGCTGTATAAGATAATATAGTTTTTTAACTATCCCACGGGAACTCTTTAATTTTTTGGGATAAAAAGTATCTAAAATGTAGTAACACCACGCAAAATTTTACTTAAATCGGTTCAACAGTTTCGGAGATTAGCCCCTACAAACAGACAGAGAAACAAAAAAATTGAAAAAAATCTGGATTTGTTCTATTTTTATCATATGGGATGTAAGAAGATAACTGACTCAGTTTTTAGCATTTTTTTTCTATGTACAGACATTTGACCTCTACAGTTTTATTATATTTATAGATAGAATAAATAACGTATAATAAAACACAGTAATATATAACAATTAAAATAGTTATAGCGAGTGTACCTTAGGAGATAGACATATACTATTGAGAACTTTGCTATCGACCTTTTTAAGACTTACAATTTTCTTGTACAATGTTTTGATCTATCTCTTAAGGTTGAGCCAGCGTTAGCCATATTAATTTCTAAGGACAATTCGATAGAACCAGTTATTGTGTTTTCCCGAGGGAATGAATAATTTGCCTGTCGTAAAAGGTATCCTAAAGGTTGACCCGAGTACTAAGTTATCACTATACAAAATTTAGTTAAAATCAGTTCAGTACTTTTTGCGTGAAACGCGCACATCGATTTGACTAAGTTAGTTTTATTATAGATAGATAAGTATAAATATTGCTTAGGAGATATACATATACTATTCAGAACTTTCCTGTAGGACTTTTCAAGACCTACAACTTTTTAGTATATTGTTTTGATGTATGTATGTCTTAAGGTTTAGCCAGCGGAAGGTTTCTAGGGAGGGCTCGATAAAACCAGTTATTGTATCTTCTCGTGAGAAAGAAAGATTTTCTTGGAGTAAAAGGTATCCTAAACGTTGACTCGAGTAATAAGTTATCACTTCACCAAACGTTAAAATCGATTCATTACTTTTCGCGTGAAACGCGCATATAAAAGCAGACAAACAGACATACAGGCAAACAGAGAAACAGACAAATTTTTTAATAACTATTGTTTTGGGGTTTATGTTGTGTACATAATACGTTACAAATAAACGAAAACATCTATCCCACGGGAACTGTACATTTTTCCGGGATAAAAAGTAACCTATTTATTATTCTGATGTATGCCCTATATTATTGTAAAGTTTCATCAAAATCCAATCAGTAGTTTTTGTGAACTAAGCTGTATAAGTTACTATAGTTTTTTTACTGTCCCACGGGAACTCTTTGATTTTCCGGGATGAAAAGTAACCGATTTGTTGTTGTCATACATGAACTACATTATTGTAAAGTTTTATTAAAATCCAATCAGTAGTTTTTGTGTACTAAGCTGTATAATTTATTATAGTTTTTTAACTCTCCCACGGGAACTATTTAATTTTCCGAGATAAAAAGTATTTTAGATGTTGCCCGGGAATATAAGGTACCACCATGCAAAATTTCATTTAAATCGGTCTAATAGATTCGGAGATTAGCCCATACAAACAGACGAACAGACAAACAGACAGAGAAACAAAAAAATTGAAAAAAAAACTGGTGTTGGTTGCATTTGTATCATTTTAAATGTTTAGTCTAATAAACACGTTCGAAGCAGATAAACGTTCTTGCTCTTGCACCCAAAGTCGTGTTTAATGTGCAAAGACAAACATACATTGTGTCATTGCAAGCAGTTTACAAGTTTACAACCTTCAGAACGTAATGAGTATATACAGAAGAATAACCTTTGTTACAATTGTCTCCATCCTGGGCATTCAGTAAAGAAATGTCGTTTACAAATGTCATGCCGCATATGCCACAAGCGCCATCATTCTCTTTTACATCAACCATCAAAGTCAAATACCTTGGATCAATCAGAGAAACAAGCACAGCCAACGGTATCAGTCTATGCAAATGTAGAAGAGTCAGAAGGAGAAGAAATCAATGCAATGATGACGTCACATTACAATGGAAGACAAAGTTCAGCAATGTTAGCTACAGCAGAGGTTAAAGCAAAAAGTGAAGAAGGCAATATAATCATGTTGAGAGCTCTAATAGACCAAGGTTCAGAAGCATCATTTATAAGTGAGAAGGCTGCACAACTTCTGAAACTTTCAAGACAACCGGCAAGAGGTAATGTTGTAGGCATGGGTTCTACTAGAACAAGCGTAAATCAAAGGGTTCAATTACAAGTTTCACCAAGATGGGAGTCACAATTTTCTATCCATATTCAAGCCTATGTGATCAGCAAACAATTGAGGTTTAAGATTCATTTATTTCTCAAAAGAATACAATTCACTTACTGAGAAATATTAGTTTTACGTAGGTAACATTGTAAACGGGCAGCTAATATTTATATAAAAAATAAAATATATTTTGCGGGTAATACAAACTATTTTATGGATTAGAACTCGGAATAAGAATACTGGAAGTGGCTTTAAGTATAAAATTTTACTGTCATATATTATGTTGTTAATTCAATTCAAATTATGTTATTAATAAGTTTTAACTTTAAATTTAGTAACAAGTATAGTATTATATGATCTGTGGTAACAAATACTTTAATATTAAATATAGAAAGATTAGGTTTTTGATGGTTTAATTAATATATTTATTGCCAATATGTATTTTTAATTTCTTTTTAAAAGATTCCATTGTTTTTTCACATTTAATATTGTTTGGTAATTGATTATATAGCATTGCTCCTTCAAACATAATACATTTTTTGCCATAGTTTGTGCGTGGTTTGTAAAGTTTTAAATTATTTGCATTTCGAAGCAATTTACCATGCGTTAGTTTATTTTTCATGAAACTTATTTGTGTTTGTGTGTCATGATAAAATTTTCTTATAAGAATGCACGTATTATAAATATAAGTTTGTTGAATGTCAAAAAGCTTCGTTTCTTTATAAATTTGGTTTGTAGCTGTGAGGTAATCATAATGAAATAACGTTTTAATTAACCTGTTTTGTGCTCTTTTTAACATATTTAGATTACTTTTAGCTGCAATACCCCAAAGTTGTATTAAATAATCAATTTGTGATTTCACTAATGAATTATAAATAATATAGCGAACATCAGGAGGAAAACTTCGAACAGTGCCTCGCAATAATCCATTTAGGGAAGATAATTTTGATTTCACTTTTTGAATGTGAGGTTTCTAAGTTAAATGATTATTCAAAACTAAGCCTAGGTATTTTTCTTCGTTTACTCTACTTATTATTTGATTGTCTATTTTTAATTGAGTGGTTATTTTGACTTTTTGAAGTGAAACTTCTTTAGAATCGTTGTGATTTGAAACTCGATGCAACGGAAATGCGACAGTAAAAAGAGACAAACATATAAATATATAGGATTAAGCCGGCGATAGAATGAGATAGAATACATTGCGATGATGCCATGGTAACCGTTGTTATTTGATAGAATACATTACACAGGAAGTGAAAAATAATAAAATTCATTACTGATTATTATGTAATGTTTATATTTATGTCAAATAAAATGTAAAATAACTTTTAAACTTGGTAAAAATAATATAAAAAAATCCTTATGATTATCCTACTCCTGATACTCTATATTCATATCATTTTCTAAAGTTTCATTTCTACGATGTGTGAATTGCACACACTCTTTTTTTTTGCAGAGAAAATAATGTTCTTTGTTTTTGAAGTATTTATAGTTAAGAGATTTTTCTTGAACCATGAATTTAACATATTTAAGTCATTTTAAGCATCATTAAAAATATCTTCAAGTGAATTTCCGAAGTAAAATAGGCAAGTGTCATCGGCATAAAGAGTGAGATCCTCTTTTAAACCAATATGACAAATGCTATTAATATATATATTAAAAAGCAACGGACCTAAAATTGATCCCTGGGGAACACCGAAAGTTATATGCTTAGGACTACTTTGATGTGTGCCAATTTTAGTTATTTGGTACCGGTTCGCAAGATATGATTTTCCTTGAAATTCCAATGTTGTTTAATTTACATAGTAACAAGTCGTGACTAACAGTGTCAAACGCTTTTTTTAAGTCTATAAAAATGCCAATAGCTATTTGTTTCCGATCAATGGTTAATTTCAGTTTTGTTATAAGATCTAATGTAGCTGAGAGTGTATTTGATTTTGGCCTAAAGCCGTACTGTTTTACATATAATATTTTTTTTTCTCTCAAAAATGTTTCTAGACGCACGTAGAGAACTTTTTCGAATATTTTTGACAACACCGGTAAAACTGAAATTGGACGATAATTTGATGGGTCAGATCTATTACCAGATTTGAAAATAGGAGTTACTTTTGCAATTTTCAAATCATCCGGAAAAAGGCCATGGTCAATACATTTGTTTATACAACATGATAATTCGTTTAAGACGAGAGGTTTAACACATTTAATAGTCTTAACATTAAAACCGTCTAATCCAGCACTTGTATTCGTTTTCAGTTGGTTTATTATTTTATCTATTTCTTTGATATTTGTTGGAGCAAAATGAAATAAAAGTGTGTCACTTTCAGTATTCTTTGTTTCCGTAGTATAAGGTACACTGTTAGTATAAGTTGTAATGATGTTATTAGCTAAAGTTGGACCAATGGTTACAAAATAATTATTGAAAAATTCACAAATGTCTTTTTTATCATTAATTTCACCTAAAGGCGTTAAAAGTTTACAGGGTCTAGATCTGTCTTTTATTTTGTTTATGGAAAGATTATTAAGAAGTGTCCACATTTTTGTTGTATTTTTCTGACAATCGTAGAATAATTTGTAATAATATTTATTTTTTGTATTTTGTATTTTAAAACCCACTTCGTTCCTTTTTTCTATAAAATCCTTTTCCTTTTTTGTATCTTTTGTGCTACTTTTGTATTCGTTCCATAGTATATTTCTTATATTGATATCATTTACAATATGTTTATTAATCCAATCCTGTTTTGGTGGGTTTAATATTTTAATTTTTCTAAGCTTGCTTTCTTCAACGGCTAACTTTAACTTCTCTTTTAGTAATGAAAATTCGTTGTCTTTATTTTGATTTTTGTTTTCTTTAATAATTCGATATATTTTATTATAGTCAAGTGCATCATAGCTTACTTTCGATAGTGATTTAGGTTTATGCTGTTTGATTTCTAAGTAAATTTGGTTATGATCTGATATTGATGATTGAATAATAGCAAAATTATATTCACTTTCTTTAAGATTAGAGCAGACGTGATCAATAATTGATTTAGTGGTTGAGGATTCACGTGTACAGTAATCTGCATTTAATTTATTTAGCAATTTATGTCCGCTTTCTTTAAGTATTTCTTTGTATGTTGTTGAAATTACTTCGTAGCTGAGTAAGTTTATATTGAAATCACCGAAAATAATGCATCTCTTTCTTTTATTTAATTCTTGCGGATAGTAGTCTAAGAAGTTTTTAGGTTTGTAGATTCCGGTCTCAAACATACAACTCCAACGTCGAGCGAGAAAGTATATAGTAAATAATGATTTCCATTAAGGTAGGAATCTTCAATAAAGCTATGTTTTAAATTGTTATGAGCAAATATTGAAACGCCACCTCCTTTCATATCATTTCTATAATTATAGTAGTGTGTGTAACCTTGTATTTGAAAACGCCTTGCTTCATCATCAGACTTAATCCAAGTTTCAGTAAGTACTATTAGGTGGATAGTGTGTTGAAATGTTTGTACGATACAGTTTAGTTCATCGAATTTGCCAGGTTTGACTATGCTACGAACATTAGCATATAAAAATTTCAAGGATTTCTTATTATGTTTTATATTGTTATAGCTTTCAACGATTTGATATGTGATATTAGCCTCTTCGCCTGATGCACTTGATTCAGTGGTGTTTATTGTGGATAGTTTTTTGGAATAGTTTCTATAATTGTTGGCGTTCCTTTAACATACTTTATAGATAAATTTTCACCATTTCTTATTCGACATTCGAGCTTTTGTTTTAACGAATTTAAGTATTCTCTTTGCTTAGGAGTTTGGTCTGAGTAGATTCGACTTTTGTGATTCTTTAAAGCATCTCTCTTACGGAGCAAAGCTATAGGCGTGCTCTTATTTTCAAATATCAATTTAATTGCTCTTGTTTTGTTTTGATTGTATTTACCAAGACGAATATTTTTTTTAGGTTCAGGACATTCTTTATCTATTAACATAAGTATTTTGTTCACTTCAACTTTTTCTAGTTTCATTCTTTCATTATTATCTGAAGAAAACTGTTCTGGTACAGAGGTTAATATTAGATTTCTACTTCTTGCTTTTCGTTCATTCATTTCTGAGATCAAATTTTCGTATGTTTCGGGCTCTGGAACTGACGTCACCTTAATTTGATTTATTGTTGTTTCTAAAGTTTTGACTTTTTCATCCATGGTATTATTTTTGGTATCGAGAGTAGCAATATCTTCTTTCATTGTGGTTTGTTCAATTTTTAGGTTTTCCAGTGTTGACTTAAAATACTATTAATTTGTTCCGTTATAGATGATATTTCAGACGATATTTTTTCCATGAACTGCTGTTGCTTTTCACCAAACGTTGTTAGCATAGACATCATCATCGATATTTGTTTCCGTATTTCACCAATATCTTGTTTAGTACTTTCATCGTCTTCTCTTTTCTTCCTTTTTGATCTTAAGTTAACATTTTGAAATTCAGAGAATTCTGATTGTATATTTCCAGACGATAAGTTTGGTTGAGATCCACTAAAGTTGGTGGCGAGGCCACTTCTAGTAGGTGAGCGTAATACGTTCATTATATCTGTGGCAACTCTGGTGGTGATGTGTTGTTGTGATACTGCTACGTATTAAGTGAGTAAGAAAATATGAACCCGTCTCGTTTCTTCGAGGTGGTGAAGAGCGGTTACGATCACAGTTTGTCAGAAGCACAAATGCACAGTTAAAATCAAAGAGTTATACAAATTTTCTATTTAAAACGTTTGTTTTTAGAACTAGAATAGCCTGTAGTGAATATTTATTTGACTAAGTAAATTGTAAAACACGTCCACACCGTCCAACGCCCGATAAATATCTTGACAAGTAAAATACCACATACTACAGTAAAAGGAATCCATTGGCAACATGTCAAGGGTCTCAATTTAGCAGATCCCAACTATTATAAGCCTAGTTTAATTGACTTATTACTTGGAGTTAAGGAATATTCAAAAATACTAAATGAAGGTTTAATAAAAGGTGTACCAGGCACGCCATGCGCACGGAATACAGAATTAGGATGGATTTTATTCGGAGAAATCAATACAAACAAGAAAGAAGAATCGTTTCTTGTTATGCACAATCAAATAGACGTGGATGAAATATTAAAATCATTTTGGGAAATTGATACAGAATCGAAACGAATACTTACATTGAATGAGCAAAAATGTGAAGATATTTACAACAATACACATAGAAGACAAGAAGATGGAAGATACATAGTTAAATTGCCCTTTAATACCGAAAATCCACAATCAATACATGGTCACACTAGAGATATATCATTAAACAGACTATTACAATTAGAGAGAAGATTTAAAAAGCAACCTAAATTAAAAGAAGAATACAATAAAGTTATAGATGACTATATACAATTAAAACACATAGAAGAAGTACCTAAAGAAGAAATAAACAATAAATCAGTATACTTACCTCACCACGCAGTCGTACGTGAAGACAAGGAAACCACAAAGACACGGGTTGTGTTCAACGCTTCCTGTAAAGGGACTAATGGAATTTCACTAAACGAAGAACTCTTACCTGGACCGGTACTGCAAGATGTCCTGAGAAGTATAATTATGAGATGGAGAATGCATGCTATTGGATTCGTATCAGATGTTCAAAAAATGTATAGGATGATATTACTTACCAAAGAAGATATTGATTTCCAGAGAGTCCTGTGGAGAAAAAATGATAATGAAGAAATCAAAGACTACCGTTTACTTACCGTTACCTTTGGCACAAGCTCGGCACCTTATTTAGCAATAAAAACGCTCATGCAACTGGCTGAAGATGAAGGAGAGAAATTTCCAATAGTAGCGGAAATGATTCGTAATAATTTTTATGTTGATGATCTGATGGCTGGAGCTGAAACAGTAGAAAAGGCTATAGAAGCTAAAACTCAATTATTTAATATTATGCGAAAAGGAGGCTTTGAACTAAAAAAATGGTCGTCCAATAGTCTCGAATTTATGAAATCCATGGAACCTTCTGAAATATCATCTAATGCACATATTAATATTAACATTGACGGTTCCGTAAAGGCTTTAGGAGTCCTGTGGAACTTAAAAACTGATCAATTTCAATACAGAATCAATCTATTACCTACTAAACATACAGTTACGAAAAGAACAATCCTATCTGACTTACAAAAAATATTTGATCCTCTTGGATGGATAGCACCCACCATTATTTTAGCAAAATTAATAATTCAAAGACTATGGTCAGAGGGAGTAAATTGGGATGACAGAATTAGTTTAAACTTAGAAAGGGAATGGCTCAAAATAAGAACAGATTTCGAAAGAGTCAAAGAGATTTCTGTTGATAGATGACTAAAGACTTCTATAACCAAGAATCAAACAGTGGAGCTACATGGGTTTAGTGATGCTAGTAACAAGGCGTATGGTGCTGTTGTTTACGTAAGAGTCGTAGAAAACAAGAATATCTTTACCAATATTGTAGTGGCTGGAACAAAGGTTGCACCGCTGAAAACAATTTCACTTCCAAGACTAGAACTCTGTGGAGCACTCAAAGTTATTGAGGAGTGTAAGTCAAGCTATGAAAATACCTTTATCGCAATCTTATGCCTGGACAGATTCATCTATCGTGATTTCATGGCTAGCTGGCGATCCTAATAGATGGAAATCATTTGTAGCCAACCGAGTCGTCGAAATAAATAACAATCTAAACCACAAAAAATGGCATCATGTGAGATCCGAGGATAATCCTGCTGATATAGCGTCTCGAGGAATGTTACTTGCTGATTTAAAACAATCTCAAATGTGGTGGCACGGTCCTAAATGGATATCTGAAAAAGAAATAATATATACACAATTAGAAAATATAGTCACAGATTTAGAAAAGAAAAGAGAAATAAATATACAAAATAACTTACATATAGAATCCCACGATGAGGTAGATATAGACACGCAGTTTGAAAACTTTGATACACTGGAACAACTTTTAAAAACAATTATAATATGTAAAAGATTTTAAATTATAAAAAGAGTATAAAAGCAAATTTAAATTTTACTACAGAGGAATATGAAAATTCATTAATAACATGCATACTTATAATACAAAAGAAACAATTTACACAAGAAATTCAAGATATAAAGAGTAAAAATCGAGTTAAAAGTATTAGCAAATTAAAAACCCTCAACCCTTACCTAGATAGCAACAATGTACTCAGAGTGGGCGGAAGAATAAAACATGCTAATATTAATGAAGACACAAAGCATCCCATAATATTAAATAAAGAAAATCCACTTACCACTTTAATCATAAAAGACGCTCATATTAAAACTTTACATGGCGGTATACAGCTGATGCTAAATTACATAAGATCTAAATATGGGATATTGAAGGTTAAGGGATTAGCAAAGTCATACATACATAAATGCTTGCTTTGTGCAAAGGAAAAAGCAACATCAAAGGTACAAAGAATGGAAAACTTACGTAACTTTGTTGCAGCAAATAAAGAACTTACAGAAGCCTGGAAAGATGCACAGTTACAGTTTGACGACGTACTAGCAGACAGACTCTCAAATGAAGGAACCCAGTGGCACTTCATTCCAGCTTACAGTCCAAACTATGGTGGCCTCTGGGAAGCAGGGGTGAAGTCAATTAAATATCACCTGAAACGAATTTTGACAACTCACTTAACTTTTGAAGAGATGACTACTATATTATGTCAGATTGAAGCTTGTTTGAATTCACGACCCCTGTGTCCTATGGATGACTCAAACTGTGATAATTTAAATCATCTTACACCTGGTCATTTTTTAATCGGCGAGGCTCCTATCAACATTCCATCACCCGACTTAAGAAACACAAACATAAATTACCTTACACGTTGGCAATTCACACAAAAACTAGTGCAAGATTTTTGGCATCGTTAGCAACAGGAATATCTCTCAAGACTACAAGACCGAAATAGCTACACAAGGTTAATGAACTAGAAATAGGCCAAATAGTTTTAATAAAAATGGAAAATTTGCCTCCTAGAAAATGGGCTTTAGGCCGTATAATATAAAAACATCCAGGATCTGACGGACTGACCAGAGTTTATAGTGTAAAAAGTGGAAATAACATTACAAAACGTTGTGTTACAAAATTATGTTTGTTACCAAAAGATACTTAGTGATATATCTATCTTAATAATAAATATGTATACTTAATCAAATCATTATCAATGCTTTAATAATTATCAAATGTTTGTGCAAGTACAATGTTGTAAAACTTACTCGTAGGTACTAATTGTTTGTGAGATTGTTTATTGTTCAACTTAGATGTCCTACATAATTTTCATTTTTCTTTGTATTAAAAAAGGTCAAACCCCTTTTTAGTGGGCGGTATGTTGGTTGCACTTGTATCATTTTAAATGTTTAGTCTAATAAACACGTTTGAAGCAGACACACGTTCTTTCTCTTGCACCCAAAGTCTCCAAGCGATATTCAACCTTAACATCATATACAACTGGATTTGTTCTATTTGTCTTCTTACATCCCCCTGACTCGGTTTTTAGCATTTTGTTGTACTGTTTTATTATAGTATAGATATAGACCCCAAAACAATATTCATTAAAAAATTTGTCTGTTTGCCTGTATGTCTGTTTGTATGGGCTAATATCCGAAACTTTTGGACTGAATTAAATGAAATTTTGCATGGTGGTACCTTATATCCCCGGTCAACATCTTAGATACTTTTCATCCCAGAAAATTAAGGAGTTCCAGTGGGATAGTTAAAAAACTATAGTATCTTATAACTGCCTCGGTGGTGTAGTGGCTAGCATGTACGGCTGCACACCCGGAGGTCCTGGGTTCGAGTCCCGGGTCGGGCCAAGCTTAGTTATTGTCTTTCTGTATAGTAAGTCTCAGTAACAGCCCGGAGTCGGAGTGTTGGCGGTGTTTCACCCCCCGTGCCTCGGAGAGCACGTAAAGCCGTCGGTCCTGCGCCTTTACTCTCACCGGTCGTGTCGAGTGGTCGTCCCACCGGAGTATGAGAGTGATAGGAATAGAGTGCACTTGTGTCTGCGCGTACACTTATGCACTATAATATCTCCTGCGCAGTTGGCTAGTCTCAATGAGATTGGCCGCCGTGGCCGGAATCGGCCAGGAGAACATCATCTTATACAGCTTAGTACACAACAAGTTATGCACCTAATTTAGTAAAATTTAACATTCTGATACCTTATATTTCTGGTCAAACAACAGGTTACTTTTATCCCGGAAAAATGAACGGTTCCCGTGGGAACTAATAGATCTCTATTAGTGTTTTTCTAGAAGCGAATCCGAGCGAAGCGAGGGTGAGCCGCTAGTGTTATATATTTTAGGCTTATTATTGTACTACTGCATATACCACCAGATCAGTCGGTCGTCCTTTATTGAGGTTCATGGACAGCGTTAAACGTGATATGTTCAGCTTCAGAAGAAGTTGCAGACGACCGTACCCGTTGGAGGAAATTATATGGGGACGGCGTCAAGTTGCACAACCGCGCCTGGCTCAATGAGTTAGCCCGTAAACGCGCGTACAGACACCAGCGTGACACCAAGCAGCTCCACCAACCCTCTTCATCACAGCAAAATCTGCGTCTGCAACAATTGTAATCGTAGTTGTAACTCCCGTATCGGTCTGTTCAGCCATGAGCGGAAGTACAAACTACCGGATGCTACATTAATTAATCATCTTTTGTAGATGGAACTAGGCCTATGATACTGTAGGTACTTTCTAGGTTCAGAATAACATCTCTTGGTAATTCATCTTCATAATATTGGTGTACGTATGTAAATAGGTAAATTCTATCTTTTCAAAATATAAAATTTATATAAATTTTTATAGCTTGAGCCACTGAAATGTTGTGATGTGTTATAACCTAATTGCCATAAGGCAACAAAGCAAACTAAATTAGCACTTTCCACCAGATAGTTGCAGTGGCAATCTTCCGGTTTCATCTTCAGATCCGCGTCCTGATTTGTAATGTGAAGTATAATAACAAAACATACTAGCTCAAATACGGCTGTCCTACCATATGCCATCAGGGAGCTCCAGTCCTTATATCTCGACTCCATCATCAGATCAGCTCGATGGTACCAAAATATTGCATTATCACCGAAATTATACAACTATTCCAAATTTCAGCTCATCCAATACCAGAAAGTGATTGCATGCTAATTTTAAATCGGACAACTTACATACGAACATTGCAAGTGAATAAAAGCTTGCAAAATAATTAATTATTATTTGGACATTAGCAAGTCAGTTCTCACGAAACATACAAGTAGGTGTTTGAAACGCTACAGTGAAACAATAGCAAGCAATGTAAGCCTAATATTGTTTTTTTAAATGTTGATTTTAGATTTTCCTCTAAGGATAAATAAAGTAAACTTTAACGTGACGGTGATGGGGGCGGGCGGTGGCGCGAGGGCTGCCGCCGCCCTGCTCTACGTAGCGCTGCGCTATGGCTTGGGCTACTCGACGCGCCTGGACATAAATACCCCTAATCTTTGTGAGCTAACAATGAAATCGTCTGACTGGCATAAGTAAGTTTTCAACTTAATATCACCTCTGATACGAGGTATAATGATTTACTTATTAAAACGCATTTTTTTTTAATTAAAATCTTAATTTACAGGACAGTCAACATAGTAGGACCGCTGGCAATGATGCCTGGGGGGCAATGTAGCAATAGCAACTATGGATTTGACGCAATGATTTCACATTCTAGCGCCGTGTCAGATGTATCTTTACATTTAATGGCTTATCTGCCTGACAACGAGTGTAGAATATATGTCACTAATGGGTTTCTAAATATCAATATTTCTCTACTCGAAACCTGTAGATTCCTACCGACCAGAACAAAAGAAACCGGGTAAGATTTATACTATTAAAAATAGCTTACAAATGCAATATATGCATAATTTAGTAAACAAATAAAAATTAATATCAATTCAAGTAAAAATACCGCTAATTCTTGATTAGTAAATAGTAATATAGTATATAGAACTTTTACTTTCTAGGGTTTCGTAGTCAACAAGGAACCCTAATAATTTTGCCATGTCCGTCCGTCTGTCTGTCTGTCCGCAGCTTAGCTCAGAGACTAAGTACCTACTAGAAAGCTGTAATTTGGCATGGATATACAATATACATACATATTAGTCACGCCAAGAAAGTGGTAAAATTAAATCTTTCCCGCAAAAATATTGCAGGCTTGTAAAAACAATTTTTCGATTAAGAGATCAGTTTGTGAAATATTAAGCCTTCTAATGCTAATAAACCTTACAGTGATAAAAATAAACAAAAAGCTCTCTTCTTAGTCTGCATTATTGTGATACGCAACTATCGTGCTCCGACACGCACTTGGCGCATTTAAAATATGAGTAAATTTAATATGTTGACGTAAACAAATCTTTACTTAAAATCAGTTGTCATTATCCAGTATGCCAGGTACTATAATACTTGTTACTTTTAAAGCTTAGTTACACCTTTATCAAAATTACAGGGGAAAAGGACTTAAATTTTTTAACATTTTGGCAAGAAAAGAAAGTACAGTTGATGCTTTTGTTATCGATGATCTTCAGAAACAAATAGAGGCAACTACGTTACCATTGAAAATAGTTTATTTTTTTAAAGATACAGAATTTCGTACAGAGATACATAAACTACAAAAGCAAAACACATCCTTTTTATTTCTGGATGAATTTATTTGGTCACATGTTTCAAACGTGTTGCCTGTGCAACTATCCTATGGACCAAATAAAGGTGACTTGATATCGCTTGCTCACGTTTGTTGCAGCTTTCGAATTGGTGATGGGTTTATTATGAGAGATGGAGCACCTCCAATATATGAAATTGTTCACAACTTCAATCCAAATGCTACAGATCTTTTTAACATACTTGAAAATGAGATATCTACAGATAATAATACAATAGTAGAAGCTGCTTGTAAGTGGGCTCTCACACATTTTGGACAGTTTAAACAAATGATTCCACCTAATTTCAACAATATATTTCATCCAACGAGTTTCACCATTGAAGTATATTTTTGCAAAGGGGATCCGTATATCGATGAATATGAGAAAACTATTAAAGAATTAGAGCAAGTATTTCGAAAAACTCTAAAAGAAATTAGACTTGCTATACACAGTTCGTCCACTAATTGTCTTGATGTTGAAGGCCTTACTAAAAATCTTCAGTCATTAAGAAGAAAACAATCGATTGTCGGTTCAATAACGTGGAGCTGGCTTTCGGGGGAACAATATGCAGCAAGGGAAGCAAATAATAGTAACTTACCGCTGTTGTTGATAGGCCCCACCGATCCCGATGTGTCATTTAATGATTCAGCAACAGCAGTTCACGCTGCAAATGGCGACCTCACTGAACTCATTAGAGCATATAAACATCTACTACAGCTGTGTAAATGGTCACGTATTGCAATTTTATCAGATAAATCAACGTTTTCTAAAAAATTCAGGAATACTTTTCTGCTGAATGATAAAAATTTAATTCATCGAGAAATTATTGTAACGTCTAGTGATATAGATTCAGCTTTGAAAAGCTTAGATTCAGACAACGCCCGTATATTCTTAGTAAATGCAAACTGGAATATTACCAGTATTATATTGTGTACAGCTCTGAAACAAGGCATGACAGGAGCTAGTTTTATGTGGATTACTAGAGACATGCGAGTTTTTGAATGCGACAAAGAGAACAAGACAGCTTTACATCTTTATACATTGGAACTAACGTCAAGCAAGGGCCCCGCTACAATTTTGGCTAAAGATTTACTAATGGAAACAACAGATGGTACTGAGCTCATTCCGGGAAGAATTCAATCTTCATCACTTGCTGACGCTATACTACAACTTGGATATGGATTTGATACGTTTATTCACAAGTATCCCTCTCTTGTATATAGTCTTCGTGAGCGTATTAGCACTGTGTAAGTATTGAATAATATAAATTCATACATATAGTAAATAAATAAATTCATACATATAGTAAATAAATAAATAAATAAAATAACCTTTAATTACTAAAATAATTTGACATTATACACTCAGACATGCAATTTTTTTTTCTAACATAGATGACATATTATTTAGTAAACATAACAATCATATAGCAACAAAAATTAGTATCTTATAAATAAAGCTGATATAATAACAGTAGACCTAATTTAGAATATATTTTATACCATATTATTAGTTCTTTTATTTTTTGTTATTAATACATATATTGTTATTAGCTGGTCAATAAAAACTGATTGTTAGTATAATAATTTTTATAATGCTAACTTATATTTATGTGAAAACAAAATTAACTATTTTGAATAATTTGTAATTTAAATAACCATACATGAAATCAAAAAATCCTTTATCTGAAAAATAGCTTCATTCAGTTTCATTCAATCATGCATATAAACCAATAATAAATTTGAGTATTAGCTATCACATAGTAAATATATTATGTAGTATTAATTATTGTTATTATTGTTTTTTTTTATTTATTTTTTATTTATTTTAGTAGTTTTGTTTATCTGTTTAGTAAAATTTTGAAATTTATAAAATGTCTCTTATTTCAGTTTGTCTATGGGCAAAGACCTCCTCTAGCTCCTTCCATTGTTTTCTGTCGTGTGCTACTCTTCTCCAGTGTGGTCCTGCGGTCTCTTTAATTTCATCCTCCCATCGTTTAAACTGTCTACCTCTATTATGTTTAGCGCCACTGGGATACCAATTTGTTACAACTTTACTCCATTTATTATTTTTTTCCTTTGTAAGTGCCCGGCCCACCTCCATTTTTGCATGTCTATTACATTTAGGATATTTGAAACCTCTTTTTTTTCTCTTATTATAGTATTTTTTAATTTGTCTTTAACAGAGATTCCAAGCATGTTTCTTTCCATTGCTCTTTGGCACGTTTTTAATTTTTCTCTGTTAATATGATTTAAAGCCCAGGTTTCACATCCATATATTATACAGAGGAGAATACAGGTGTTAAATATTTTTCTTTTTAGAGACATCCTTAAAATTTTACTTTTTATGAATTCCTTTAGTGACCAATACTTTTTCCATCCTGTCGCAATTCTTCTGTTGATTTCCTTGGTTGTTAGGTCAATAGGTGATATAGTCGGACCTAGATATATGTCATCCTCAACATATTCTAAATACGTATTGTCCACTTTTATTTGGGTTTAGTTTTTGTTAGTCATCAATTTAGTCTTTTCAATATTCAAAGACAGGCCCGCTAAGCCGCTCTGTTTGGAGAGTTGTTGGATCATTGTTTGTAGCTTTACAGGATCTTCTTCGAATAGCACGATGTCATCTGCAAATCTAAGGTGGTTCAAGCGTACACCGTCGATATTTAGGCCAAAATCTAACCAGTTTAAGTTCTGAAATATACATATTTTCAAGAACAGCTGAGAATATTTTAGGTGAAAGTGGGTCACCCTGCCGGACGCCTCTACGTATTGGAAATTCAGTACCAAGAGTCTCTAACTGAATTTTGACTTTGCTATCTTTATAGATATTTTTTATGATATTTATGTAGAGACTGCTTATTCCTTCCTTTTCTAGTGCACACCAAATAGAGTTGTGCTTTATACTATCGAAAGCCTACTTTTCTATAATTTATTTTACTGTATGAATATGATCGATAGTAGAAAAATTTCGTCTAAAGCCAGTCTGTTCTCTAGGTTGGTTTTCATCTAATTGTTTACTTATTCGATCTAGTAAAATTTTGGCAAATATTTTATATATATTTGGCATGAGACTTATTGGCCTGTAGTTTGATATAACGCTTTTATCTCCCTTTTTATGTATAAAGATAATATGAGAGATGTTCCATTGTTTCGGTATTTTGCCGCAGTTGAGAATGTCGTTAAATATATTTGCTAGTATTGGACATAGGATTTCCATTATTTCATGTAGTATTTCGGTGTTTCTTAGGGATATTAGTGCATTATTTAATCCGCCTGTCTTAGCTAAATGATATTCTACACTTTTGATTCTTCGATTTTTTCGGTCTTTACGGAGATTTCCTTGTATTTCTTTACTTAATTGTCCAATTTTTTTGCTGAATGGTTTTTTTATCCGCGTTTATTAAATATTTTATTTTTTCTATAAGGTTTTTAGTTATTTATACATATAGTATAATATACATATAGTACACATGTAGGTACTAATTTTAAAGTTTTGTCATTATACAATTTTCAGCCGACTTTCTCAATTCGGCTGTATGTTTTTTTTTACGTTTGTTACCTCAGAACAGGCCCGCTGCTCTTGCTATTTGAACGCCTGCGTGCAATACCGGCTAAGCCGCCCCATGTACTTACGCTAAGATCGGTATTGGTGAATCACTAGAACGGGTTCGATAACATTGAATCCGTCTTAAAATATAATTATAATCGATGACACAAATATAGTAAAATAGCAAATCCCGCGGCTTCGCTCGCGCTAAAACTACATAAAAATCTCTAAAAAGGTAATTTCATACAAACTTTCATCCCCAATTTTACCCACTTGTAGGATGAATTTCGAAAAATGCTAAAACACGTATTTATTTAATTTTATTGAAGGTATTGGCATAAGTTTAGTATATGGGACGCGGCCCCTGGAAAAGTGGGTAGTATTTTTGGATAGGGGAGGTGATGGGAAGTTCAAATATATAAAAATTATTTAGAGTAAACGAAGGATTCAAAAGTTATATAGATTAAAGTTAGAACATTTCCATACCTTTCAACACCTAAATAAGTCATTACAAAAGATAAACATACCTTTAACGAATAGTAAAAGTCCTTTTTCGTGTAAAATTTAACAATAAGGCTATATTGTAATAATATTTTGATAATTTCACTAAATACAATAATCTAAACAAATCTAAAAAAACTTATTTAAAATTATTTATTTAATTACTAGCGGCTCACCCTCGCTTCGCTCGGGTTTGCCTCTAGAAAAACACTAATAGAGATCTATAAGTTCCCACGGGAACCGTTCATTTTTCCGGGATCATAGTAAGTAAGATAGTAACCTGTTGTTTGACCAGCAATATAAGGTATCAGAATGTTAAATTTTATTAAATTAGGTGCATAAGTTGTTGTGTACTAAGCTGTATAAGATACTATAGTTTTTTAACTATCCCACTGGAACTATTTAATTTTCCGGCATAAAAAGAATCTAAGATGTTGCCCGGGGATATAAGGTACCACCATGCAAAATTTCATTTAAATCGGTCCAGTTTCGGAGATTAGCCCGTACAAACAGACAAACAGACAGAGAAACAAAAAATTTGAAAAAAAAATCTGGATTTGTTCTATTTGTCTTCTTACATCCCCCTGACTCGGTTTTTAGCATTTTTTTGCTATGTACAGACATTCGACCTCTACTGTTTTATTAAAGTATAGATATTGAATATGGAATATATAAATATTCCATATTCAATTATAAAACAAATTAAAATTATAAAAATGTTTAAAGTTAAAAAATATTGTAAGGTACATTGGTGGTTGGTGTGCTTTGCTTTGTATCGGCTGGTACCGACTTCGAAAATATTTGATTAGGTATGTATAAAAAATGAAAACTACCAATCAGTTATTTTTTACTTTTATATTTTCAGAAAACTATCAAGTATTCTTAAAACAAGAACTCAATCGGACACACATTCGTTTGCATACCCGCTTGTAATTATTGGCAAATGGGAAGGGATTAAGAGAAATGTAGCCGCAGTATGGCATATGACTCCGCAAGAGATAGTCGACATTAACTGGAATCAAAGTAGCATACGCACTTGTGAACAACTTCTGGGAAGGGAGCCACCCAAAGACAGGGCTACATGTTTAATTCAAACAGGTGATCTATTTGCACCACGTTGTCATTCTGCTGTTATATTCATTAGTGTTGCCATATTACTTTTAATATTTGCTATATTATATATTATATACCGAGACAGAAAATCGAGTATCCAACTGCACAAAAAGCAATATGAAGAATATTTGGTAAGCAGTCGACAAAGTGCCACGTCCATATTAGAAAGTTACATAGTAAAACGTAATTCGGTACAATTACTGCACATTATCGGTCTGGGTAGTTTTGCTCAAGTTCGTTTTGCTAAGCTACATAGAACTGGCAGTGAAGCAGTCGTTGTGGCGGCAAAGCAACCTCGTGGCTGCTTTGCTGTTGAGGATGAGAACATTTTTCTACGTGAAGCATGTGTGCTTGCGCCTTTAAGTCATGAAAATGTCATTCGACTTGTAGGCGTTTGCTTTGAAGATGGCCCACCAATGGTTCTTATGGAGCATGCATTTTATAGTGATCTACAACAATATTTAATATTACGGCGTCAGTACGCGGAGGGAGCACGCCGTGGCCAGGTGACGGCTGAACAAGCTATGGAAGTATCAGACGAAGAGTTGACGCGTTTTGGGCGAGAAGCCGCCGGCGCACTAGAGTATCTCGCAACCTGTAGATTAGTGCACCGTGATGTTCGAGCAGGAAACTGTCTCGTCGATAAAAATCGTTCGTTGAAACTTGCTGACTTTGGTATGGCTCGTGAGTTAGATAGCGAGGAGCCTCAATACATAACACAACGTCGGGCGCTATTTCCTGTTATTTGGATGGCCCCAGAAAGCATCAGTTTAGGCATATTCTCACCCGCATCAGATGTATGGTCCTTAGGGGTTTTATTTTTAGAGTTGGCTACTTTAGGAGCTCGACCTTTTGGAGACTGGTCAGTTGAAATGGTAGTCCGATATGTAAAATCTGGTGGGCATCCGCCACTACCACCCGACATCTCTACGTACACGTAAGTTTCATTAATTTAATTTAATTAAGTAAAAGTATTTGTAGATCTTACTATTTATTAATATTGTACTAATCTCATATAAATATTACATAATAGCATGCGTCACAAAGTATCGGTGATTATTATTTACGAAGATGTTAATTTGTTATAGAAGCAGGTTGGTGCTGGATTGTTGGCAGCACGACCCGCAGGCACGGCCTAGCGCGGCCGCCGCGCGCAGGTACCTGGCGCGTACGCCGCACGCGATCTCGTCGGCGCTGCTGACGCCGCACCCGCCCGAGTCTCCGGTCAAATTTACACGTCAACATTTGAGATAGATCAAAACTATATAATATAAGCGTATTATGCCCGATTACACCAACAACCCACAAGCTACCACCTACGTATGGGATCCCTAGCTTAAAAGTCCCCTAAACTAGCCCCTAAATTAAGTTTCCTTTTACGATCGTCTTTAAGCCCATATTTCGAGCAACTAAATTTAGGGGGCCTTTTAATATTTAGATGACCCCTAACTGTCGGTGAAACAGAAACTGTCCCCTAACAGCCCCCTAACCATGCTTAGGGGATCCCTTAAACTTAGGTGACGTTTGTGAAATCGGGAATTAGGGGAAGTCCGGGCAAAGCAGACACCTTAACGTTTGATAGCTTATGGAAAGAAAACCATTTGACACATAAATAAAACAATTGAAGAATATGAATCAGTATTTAATAAAGTTTTTGATATAATCAACAAAAATAACGTAACATCAATATTTTCCTTATAACTTTTAATAATATTGGAATTAGTACCGCTATCCGCTTTACCCAACTCATCGGGTAAAGTGGATAGGACTATTGGGCAAAGTGGACATACGGTTAATTAAAGATTAAAGAACATTAAAATAATAAAAAATATAACTAATTATTTAACATTGCAATCGTCACAATGAAATAAACCTTCTCCTTCGTAAGCTCCATTGCTTACACGAATGACATTGGATCCAATCATCCATTGGTTGATCATCGATTTCAATGTAAACTTCTCCACAAAAGTAGCATTGTGTAGTTTTTATCATTTTCTTTGTCTTTAGATTTCTTGAATTTAGTGTTTTTTGTCGTTCTAATACCTTTAGTATTTTTGTTGATTTTAGTCGTTTTGGTTTTCTTAGTAATTTTCTGTAGTGCAGTCTTTGTTTTTAAATCTTTATTAATGTTTTTCATTACTTTGCTGTTTGCTTTAACAAATTTAGCTTTCTGTTCTTCCTTTACTGGCGTACTGGTAAGCACCTCAGACTTCTGAATCTTTCTTTTACGACTCCCTATGGGAACATGAGGGATTGGGAGCGGTCTTATTTCTCTTGGACTGAAATAAGGTAAAGACGGAGCAGTAGAATGCTGTAGTATTGTTTCGTTGGCATTATAATCAAGTGAATCTTCTTTATTTGGCATGTTTAAAGGTGGCGTTGAGTGAATCATATAGACCGAGGCCAGTCTTTGTTCTGTCTCTGCATCTTGATCTATTAGATTCGTATGTCCAGTAGAAATTTCCAGAATGTCAGGTGTGCATGATCTTGATCTTTGTAGGTGATATGTTGAATGAGTATTTTCGATTAAAGAAACCGTTTCCATACATAAAATACTATGTTGGTCAGCCAATGCGTTTTGAATTGCTGTATTCTCATGCGCAGTATATGTGTTTGTTATTTGTCCAGATGATTCTTGAATATCAGGAGTCAAAGGCCATGGATTAGTAAAGATGTTTTCAGGTAGTTCTGAAATGATTGATGGCGATACATCTCTAGAATCGCTGGATCCAAGACAAGAGATCATGTTTTTGTCTCTCATTTCCATGTGAAGTTGAACTGTTACAGACAAGGGTTCAATAGGTTCGACTTCGTCATCACTTGAAAAATCGTCTGGGATATTTTCCAAAGTTTTACTTAGTCCAGATGAACTTTGGAGTCCTGACGTCGAAGGTCGGACATCATCGTCAAAAGTGTCCCAACATCTCGATTGGTGGTCTCTTGTAGAGTTGCTTCTGAATTTGCGCCATTACGCTCAGTCAACGTTGTTGAGCATGGTGCAAAATCTTTTTCTTCCCACACATCCATATTGATTGGCCAAATTCCTGTGGATTGAAATCCTTTGATGGCGTTGTTAGGAGTAGCACATTTCAGGTATGCAGGAGCAAATAATCTGGCCACATCATATTGATTGACTATTCTCCCTGGATGAGTCTTCTGGAATCGATTTATTTCCTGTTCAAAGTATATTTTTAATGCACCATAAACGGCAACGTCTAATGGTTGCAATTTGTTAGAGGTGTGAGGAGGCAGAGACAAGATGACGACATTGTTTTGGCTCGCATACTCCAGAACTGGATAATGTTTGTGGCTTTCATGGTTGTCTAGTAGCAACAGAACTTTTTTCTCTACAGTTGGCCTAACATGACCAACAAAAAATTTAAGCCACTCCAAAAATATTTCTCCAGTTATCCACCCAGATGATGAGCAAGTTCCTTGAGTCGCTGGAGGAGAACCATCCAACAAGCGATCTTGCATTCTTTTACGTGCAAATATTATAAAAGGTGGTACAAACGATCCGGTAGCATTGCAGCAACATACAATAGTTGTAGTTTGTCCACGTTCTGTGCTGGCAATGACGCCAACTTGCTTCTTACCTTTGACCGAAAAAACTTTAGGTGGTTTATTTGTTGAGGTTTGAATGCCGGTTTCATTAACGTTGTAGATCCTGGTACCGTCAATACTATGTTTTTTTGTTTGGTTATTCAGCAATTCATAGAATCTTTCCACTTGTGGATGGTTGAACCCTTTAACTCTGGCAATCGACGTTGCTTCTGGCACTCTTAAAGTGATTTGCGGATTTCTGCTCCTAAATCCAGCCAGCCAATCATCACCAGCCTTTTGATTTCTGTCCCAACTTTGTGGATATATGAGATTTTTTTTTTGCGTAAAAGTAAACCAGTGCTTTAAAATCTTCTCGAGTTAATCCATAAAAAATGCTGTCCATCTCTTGCAAATACATTTGAAGGTCACCTTCCTGTTGGTCATTAAATACTTTACGAAAACGCCCAAGTTGAGCATTCGAACTACCTTTTTTCCAATGCCTATACAGAGTAGCATAAGGTAGGCCATATTTTCTTGCCGTTGTTTTCACAGGAATACCAGCGTTGCAATCGGCTATTGCAAGCATCATAATATCCTCGTTCCATTGGGCTTGACTTTTTTTCTTGTATATTTGTAAACCATCTATAACAATCAAAACGAAAACCATTAATCAAAATAAAATCATAAATCCCATACTGGGCAAAGTGGATACCGTATCCACTTTAGCCGTGTTCACATTGCCCTAGAGGTACTCGTTGAACCTTTTTTTTAACGTTGGGAAATGCATTAACGCACGACGTGTGGGACTCACCGGCCTAATACAGCCAGTACTACCCACTAAAACCCAACAAAACCTTCGCCCGTCTTAATGGGGCATCGCAGGATCGCTTACGCATTCAACTACGACGCCCCGACGGCAGGTCTGCCAAAGCAGACCACAACAACCACGGGGTTGCTCCACAGTCCACTCTGCTATCAGAGAAGTACCAGGAGCAACCCGCATGGTACACTGGCCTCCGAAGAGGGCCACCTCCCACCGCCCACCGAAGTAAGCCACCTCCCTGTGCGTTTCTTGGCTTCGCGCCCGGTTGGGTTGCCGGGCACTACTGAGCCCCCCCACCACGACAAGGCGAACGCACGTTGGGGGGGGTACTCGTTGAACCTAATCTATCCTAAAATCAAATCCAAAACCGACATCTCAATAAAACTCACAGTATTTCAACACTAAAACATGCACTTTAAAAATATAATAAAGTCAAAACAGTAACACCATACGCACAATGAGTAATTATGAAAATACATACCTTGAAATTGCGTAACAAATTATCACTTTTCTATTATTTTTATTTTTTTCCTAAACGACGCCCGTCCGTGCGCCAACGCTGTTCGTTTACGACTGAGGGGTAGGGGAGGGACCGCGTGGCATGCAAAGTACTTAGTGGGACGCGCCGTTTTGAAAGGATGGAAGGTATTCGCTTTGCCTGGGCTATTCTCTTTGCCCGGACTTTCCCTAGTGTTATAAGCGTGTTTGGATGCTTGAAACTCAATCACGCGGTAGTTGTTCAACGTTTTATCTGAAATTAACAAAATCTGAGTATAATTCTCTAATCTGTTATTTCAATGAAAGATTCAGTATTCACATGAGAGAACTTTACAGTAATTTTAAAATATTTTTTTTGGATTGAACTTATCAGTAGACTGTACTAAGTTATTATATACTATCAAAATTGTATTAAAAAGATTGTCACATAAATATACTGCTATAGGTACAATTCCTGAAAATGTTTTTTACAAATGAATAAACTATTTATAATTTGTCAAAAGTTTTAATTACAAACCTGTTAATATTTAGCAGCTACAAGATTCTTTAACCTTTTTCAGATTCTCAATAATTTATACTAGTTAAATTCTCAATTTTCTATTTCGTGAATATTTGTTGCTAAAAACTACTATTTGAACAATATTACAGCACTTTGTAATTTATTATCCGATTAGGACAATTTTTCTTTTGTTTGATAGTGTATCCTTTGAACTTTCAAGTTAGTCTCATGTTAATTTGAAAACAATACCAATATAGAGTAGAAAAATCTATACTATAATAAAACAGTAGAGGTCGAATGTCTGTACATAACAAAAAAATGCTAAAAATCGAGTCAGGAGGATGTAAGAAGACAAATAGAACAAATCTAGATTTTTTCAAATTTTTTGTTTCTCTGTCTGTTTGTCTGTTTGTACGGGCTAATCTCCGAATCTATTGGACTGATTTAAATGAAATTTTGCATGGTGGTACCTTATATCCCCGGGCAACATCTTAGATACTTTTTATACCGGAAAATTAAATAGTTTCCGCGGGATAGTTAATAAACTATAAGAACTTATACAGCTTAGTACACAAAAACTACTGATTGGATTTTAATACAACTTTACAATAATATAGTTCACAAATGACAATAACAAATCGGCTACTTCTCATCCCGGAAAATTAAAGGATTCCCGTGAGACAGTCAAAAAACTATAGTAACTTATACAGCTTAGTACACAAAAACTACTGATTGGATTTTGATGAAATGAAAGTAATGTACCGATTTCAAATTTGGTGAAGTGATAACTTATTACTCGGGTCAACGTTTAGGATACCTTTTACTTCAAGAAAATCTTTCTTTCTGACGGGAAGATACAATAACTGGTTTTATCGAGTCCTCCCTAGAAACCTTCCGCTGGCTTAACCTTAAGACATACATACATCAAAACAATATACTAAAAAATTTTAGGTCTTGAAAAGTCCTACAGGAAAGTTCTGAATAGTATATGTATATCTCCTAAGCAATATCTATTCTTATCTATCTATAATAAAACTAACTTAGTCAAATCGATGTGCGCGTTTTACGCAAAAAGTACTGAACCGATTTAAACTAAATTTTGTATAGTGATAACTTAGTACTCGGGTCAACATTTAGGATACCTTTTACGACAGGCAAATTATTAATTTCCACGGGAAAACACAATAACTGGTTCTATCGAATTGTCCTTAAAAATTTATAATTTATATGGCTCACGCCGGCTCAACCTTAAGAGATAGATCAAAACATTGTACAAGAAAATTGAGAGTATTAAAAAGGTCGATAGAAAAGTTCTCAATAGTATATGTCTATCTCCTAAGGTATAACTATAACGATTTTCAGTGCTATATATTACTGTTTTATTATACGTTATTTATTCTATCTATAAATATAATAAAACTGTAGAGGTCGAATGTCTGTACATAGAAAAAAAAAATGCTAAAAACCGAGTCAGTTATCTTCTTACATCCTGTAAGAAGAAAAATAGAACAAATCCAGATTTTTTCCAATTTTTTTGTTTCTCTGTCTGTTTGTCTGTTTGTACGGGTTAATTTCCGGAACTATTGGACCGATTTGAATGAAATTTTGCATGGTCGTACCTTATATCCCCGGTTAACATGTAAAATAGTTTTCATTCCGGAAAATTTCCCGTGGGAAAGGTAAAAAACTGTACTATCTTATACCGCTTAGTACACAACAAGTTATGCACCTAATTTAGTAAAATTTAACATTTTGATACCTTATATTGCCGATCAAACAACAGGTTACTTTTCATCCCGGAAAAATGAACGGTTCCCGTGGGAACTAATAGATCTCTATTAGTGTTTTAATAAAAATTTAACCTTCTTACTTCTAATTGTCATGAAACTTTGCAAGTGTTTCTATTTCCATTGATAGTGCAGTGATTTGGTATCGTCGACCTGATCTGATGGTGAGGCCAGAAGGTGGACAGGTGGAACTCTTCAACAGCTAATAGTAAATACTTTGAGTTTGGGCTTATTTTGTTTGATTTGACGAACTGTTATATCCCTTTTTACAACGCAGTTAAATCTTAGTAAGCATTTATTTAATTCAAAGTATTTTTCCTTTACATTGACCTTAGTCAGCAATTGCATTGTTCCTTTTTCAACATTAATTCTAATAGCCTGAGAGCTGGCGACGAATTTTGGGAAGGTCCTTTTGGCAAGTTGAAATTGTGAAAAAATATAATTTCGTGAATTGGCGAGTTCAGTCCTGTCTGGTATAGCTTTAGCGGTTATTTCGTTACTGCGCAGTATATAACATTTGCAAAAAAAATATCCAAAAATAACTATTTTTAGCAACTTGATTTTTGTTTAATCTTTTAATTTAGTTTTCATATAATTGAAAAAAAAGAACCCCAGACGTTTTTGTCGGTTATAAAGTATTGCCAGACCTCTCCAAAGATGCTTTATTAAAATTCCCAAAAAATATACTTTTGGCAATCTGAAATTTTAATCACGTATTTATTGAGTAATTTTCAATAATATTTGCAAATAGCCAGACGAATTTACCGGTTATAAACCATTCTCAGACGTAAATAAAGTTTACAAATTAGTACTACAAAATTATCTTATGCGTAGCCATAGGTGCGAGAAAGTTAGCTTATGAGGTATGCCAGCGGCTGATGGGCGCCCAAGGTGCTCGCGCTGTGATTGGTTATCGAGATACCGCATGTTTCGAACTTATGGTTCGGGCTCTGCATTCAAAACAGAGTATTTCAGAGTAGTTTATTAGTTTTCCGTACCCAAAGGGTAAAACGGAACCCTATTACTAAGACTCCGCTGTCGGACGGACGTCTGTCTATCCGTCTGTGACCAGACTGTATCTCATGAACCGTGATAGTTAAACAGTTGAAATTTTTACAGATGATGTATTTCTGTTGCCGCTATAACAACATATACAAAACAATAGAATAAAATAAATATTTAAGGGGGCTCCCATACAACAAATGTGATTTTTTTGGCTAATTTTATAGATAATGGTACGAAACCCTTCATGCGCGAAATTATATTTTTTCACAATTTCAACTTGCCAAAAGGACCTTCCCAAAATTCGTCGCCAGCTCTCGGAATATAATTTCATTTTTAAAGTTAGACTCAGAGCCCCGGATAGATCGGTTAAAGTTCGGAAGTCAGAATTTATAACAGTTTTGTGTGTGAACTTTGTAATAAACTTTTAGGTTTATTTTGTGTTTTTTTTTAAAAACTTACGGGATCGGCCTCCTAACAGAACCCAATACGTTAGAATTGGATTTTAGAGCGAGATTTTTTAGTGTTACTAATAAAAGCGTATTTTAGTTTGGTCAGTTTTCATACTATAAAAATTGGCATCAAACTAATAAACGGCCTAAGTGAATATTTTGTTAAAATACTTTCTTCTTACTTTGCTACTACTATGTCTACACTAAAAAGGGAAAATATATATTAAAAAAAAACGATTTCAGAAAAATAGGTAACGGTCCTAGCTGTTACAAATCAAAGCACACCGACTTCGAAAATATCTGATTAGGTATCTATAGTAAATGAAAACCCCCGTTGAGTTATTTTTTATTTTTTCATGCCTGGAAGTCGGTTTTTATTTTAATTTTATTTTTTTGAAGTTGGTTTAATTTATTTAAATTACATTACTAAAGAAAATTAAAGTATAACTTTTTGATACATTTTATATCGATATATTTGGGCTGATAAACTGGACTGCGTATACCCAAAATAGAAAAAGATAGAAACCGTATCTACCGTTGTCTCTATCTATTATTATCAGTACAGTAAAAGCTCCTTATTCACGGTTCCGTTATTCGCGGTTTCAGTATTCGCGGAAGAAAAATTTGAGACACACTTCCTGTATTCGCGGCCGAAAATTTCGTTATTCGCGGGTACGTAACTTACGATTATGTATTAGTGCAATTTAAAAAGAGACAATATTCATTGTTAAATATTGAATGTTTTCAATAAAACCATATTATATAAAAGCAAGCATGTTTTCAATAAAACCATATTATATATTGCATAAAAGATCCGACGTGACAGATTAAGTAACAAAACACGTGTTTCCTCAAAATCAAGTAATTCGTTAAAACTTGATAAATGTGCAATGAAAATCATTTTATTTTGAGAAAGCAATCGTAAAAGCTCGTAAAACTTGATTTTATTCTTCTTCAATCTTTTGTTTTGGTTGAAAATAGATGTGCTTCCAAACTTACGACGGACGGTAGAGTATTCCGTCAATCGCTACGATTAAAAAAAATAACCCGTCTTTAGAAAAAAGCCTTGTTTTTAAAAGAAAAATTGATGATGCCTCAGCTGTATATCAAGCGGAATAAAAAGACCCTTTTAAAGGCGGCAAAACAAGAAAAAAATACTAAATATTTCAAACCAAATAGTTCAAACAATAATTATTAATGTTAATATCTTTTGATAGCACTGTAATGAACTGTTATTTGTTATTAAACGTATTTTTTTTATTACATAATATATTTTTATTACCTTGGAACGCAACCCTTATATTTCCATACAAATCACCATCCCATATTCACGGTTCCGGTCTTAGAGTATATATATGCTATAGGGCGCGCGTATCGCTCATTGACCATTACACACCTATTGATACATACTTTTAGATAAAGCGGCTGAATAGTGATGCGCGTAGTAAAACTTTTAGAATTTAATTAAAAAAGAAGTATACATATAATTAACATTAACTATTTAACATAAACATTTATTCACGCACATATAGGCTTTATTATATAAAATTAAAGTATTTCAAATTAAATCTTTCATTTGTAAATCTATGTAGTAATAGTGTTACTTACTATTTTGATTTTTTTAAATAATAGTAAAGTAATCAAAATTATATATTATTCTCTTTAACTTTTCGCGTTCCATAATTATATAATAATTAAAGGTGAATTCTCGCGTTTAAATCCGGTAATGTACTTATTATATAATTATTATTCTTAACAAGCATTGCCCGCGGCTTCGCCCGTGTTCAGATGACCAAAAACAAAATTCACAGGTTTTACATATTAGTATACTCTTACATTGCAGTTTTTGTATTTTTTCCCAGAAATTAGATGTTTTTCCGCGGTAAAAAGTAGCCTATATGTTGACCCGGATAGCCAGTTATCACCATACCAAATTTCATCAAATTCCATCCAGTGGTTTTTCTGTGATGCGGTAACAGACAGACAGACAGACAGAGAGACAGACAGACAGACAAAAAATCTAAAAACTATAGATTCGGCCTCTGTATCGATAATAATGTTTATTTCAATAAGATTTTCCAAAAAATATTTAATGTACAGATTCGGATTTTAATATATGTATAGATTAATTTTAACATTTTAATTTTTTAAATTTCACATAGAACAATAATGTGGCTTGAATATTTGTTTTTTATGCTTATAAATATAATAATGACAACACTAAAAAAGATGACTAATTAATAAAGTTTTCTAAAAAAATTGTAATAATTATAATAATAACAGGTAAAATGAAATAAATAATAATCCATAGGTATTAAAATTATAAAATGTTTAAAATTAAAATTTAAGTGGTATTGTAAGGTACTTTGGTGCCATTAAAGTTGAAAGGTTTTATTTTTGACAAATACAAAGGATCTTAATTTATAATACTATGGCTATACAAAATATTCGAGTAGTACAACGTGGTACAACACTAGTTCTTAACGAGGGAAAGTAAGAAGCGGGAGGTGCGGAAGCACGTGTTGTGTCGATCCGCCCGCGCACCTCCCGCAATACCCGCTCACGCCTGTATAATTTTGTTGAAATCCGCGTTTTCTGATTAATACATATTACATATTTTCTGATTAATACATATTACAATATTACATACCGATGAAAAGAAATATAATTGTTCGTTTTAGTTTGCTTTCGTAAATCATTTTTACAGCTTGGAACTGTACATTTCACCATGATTACATAAATTCAAATAAATACCGACGAGAGAAACAGTCACCGCGATTGATTAGACTAATAGCGTCGCCCTTGCTGTTTCGGGACTGTTCATACCCGTGCTTACAGTTCATATTGCTAGCGCGCGCTCTATAGCTTATGTATACTCCAAGGTTTCGGTATTCGCGGTATAATTTTGAAAGTTATACCCCGCGAATAAGGAGTTTTTACTATATAATATTATGTGTATTGTGCCCCGTTTGCATAGCAATTGCTTTTGTTTCGAAAATATTTCCAAACGTGAATAAATGTTACATTATATATTTTCTATATAGGTATTTACTTTTAATAAATCATTATAAAAATACTACCAACTTTATAAAAACCCATTTATTAGAATAGCGGTTTACCCTCGGTTCCATGGATACTCATTTTTACTAAACATATTATATAATCTGTGGCCGATTCACAATTGAAAGTGACAATTGTGAATTGACAGCAAAGTGGGATGTCTTGTTGTCATTGTTGTAACTTGTAAGGTTTATCAAATTAGGAACAAACATTGATTATACGTGAAACAAAGTGCAAAAAGATATACCTAGTAGTAAAAAGAAAACAGAAATCAGCGTCCATGTTGCTTATATTCGAATGTGTAACTTAAATATTTTAACAAATTATTTACAATTATTGACTTAGCGTAGTGTAATAATAAAAGAAACAATGGGTATCTTCGGAGCATCTTCACCATTCGATCAAGATGTAGGTGAGTAAAGAGAAATAAATATTATTGTGGTATTAAAGCTATACTTACTACTGGTTAGAAAAATCTAGAAAAGTCTATTTTAAGATGTAATAAATACTACGATGATTTATTTAACACAAATCACAAAATGTTTTAATTCATTTTTATTTAGGAAGCTATTATTATCCTACTAAGTAATATTATAAATGTGAAAGTTTGTGAGGATAGATGGATATTTGTTACTCTTTCATGCCAGATCTGGATGAAATTTGGCACAGACATAGATTATAGTATTATAGTCTGGAATAGCACATAGGTTTCTTTTATCCCAGAAAAATGTATGATTCCAGTGGGATAGATTTGTTTTTGTCTAGAGACGAACCCGAAGAAAAGTGAGGGTGGGTCGCTTACGTAAAGTATTATCTTAATTACGCTGACATTTCACTCAATCATACAACATGCAAACATTCATATGATATGACTCATAAATTATGCTTTATCAAATATCTTGGTAATATTAATTTCCAGTGTTTTATGAATGTCTTTATGTCTGAATATCGAATAAGAGTCTGTGATACTTGAGTCATTATTATTATCTGTAAATTTATTTTTTTTATTTACATGTTTTAACATGTAATTTAATGTTTTAATTTGTGTGATGTGTAAAACCCTAAGTAAATAAGCCCAAAAGAATGCATTTTCAATTTTTCTTAACCTTGATCTTAAAAATAATTTATTTCATGACCTATAAAATTAACTAAATAATATTCAGGTTTATGAATGTTATTTTCAGAGTCTTTAAGTACAAAAAATTATCCAAATTTGGAATAAACAGCTTATTATTATATTATGAATGTTATACAAAATTATCAAAATAACATTATAATGCAAAAGTACACAATTTTTATTATAATTAATAACTGTGCTGTAAGTGTAACCCAGCATTAGTACATATCTATACATCTATACTAATATTATAAAGAGGTAAAGTTTGTGATCTTGTGAGTTTGTGAGTTTGTGGGTTTGTGAGTTTGTGAGTTTGTGACGTTGTAGGGGGTAATCTCTGGATCTACTGAACCGATTTTCAAAATTCTTTTACCAATAGAAAGCCACGTTCTTTCTGAGTGTCATAGGCTATATATTAACGCGAAGAATGAAAAGGCTTTTTCGTGGTAGTCGGATTTGCAAAGTAAGTCGGAGAAAAAACGGTCGAACGAAAAGGTTTCTTACGAACGCTGCCTTAACGGTGAGAGATATATGATTATGTTCTAGAGAAAAGTTGTAGAGCTTAATAATGCCTACAAAAAAGTCAGCGACAGCATATGTCTAACTTTTATATTTAAGTCACAAAAAGTAGTTTTTTATATTAAAAAAATAACTTAAATCGGTAGGTCATGTTTATTGGTCATATTATCAACAATTATGAATTCTTATCAAAATAAGTAAATTTATCGTCTAAAATGTTTAAAACAAAAGACTTTTCCCTTTTACTGCATATAATTTGAACAAATGGTTAAAGAGATAATACAACATATTCATAGGTATGGACGAACCCGAGCGAGCTCTTTACCTGTGTTCCTGTGTAGGGGCTAATCTCCGAATCTATTGGACCGATTTAAATAAAATTTTGCATGGAGGTACCTTATATCCCCGTGCAACATCTTAGATACTTTTCATCCCGGAAAATTAAAGAGTTCCCGTGGGATAGTTAAAAAACTATAACAACTTATACAGCTTAGTACACAAAAACTACTGATTGGATTTTAATGAAACTTTACAATAATATAGTTCATACATGACTAAAACAAATCAGCTACTTTTCATCCCGGAAAATTAAAGAGTTTCCGTGGGATAGCCAAAAACTATAGTAACTTATACAGCTTAGTACACAAAAACTACTGATTGGATTTTGATGAAACTTTACAATAATATATATAGTTCATACATCAGAATAAGGAATAGGTTACTTTTTATCCCGGAAAAATGTACTGTTCCCGTGGGATAGATGTTTTTGTTTATTTGTAACGTATTATGTACACAACATAAACCCCAAAACAACAGTTATTAAAAAAGTTGTCTGTTTGTCTGTTTGCCTGTATGTCTGTTTGTCTGTTTTTGCGTGAGCGTTTCACGCGAAAAGTAATGTACCGATTTCAACGAAATTTGATGATAACTTATTACTCGAGTCAACATTTAGGATACCTTTTGTATGTATTTATGTATGTATGTATGTATTCAGCCCTTTTTAACGTCCCACTGCTGGGCACGGGCCTCCCTTCAGTACGAGGGGGATCAGGCCATAGTCTACCACGCTGGCCAAGTGCAGGTTGGCGGACTTTACATGTCTTTTGAAAACTTGCTGGGTTCTCTCAGGCATGCAGATTTCCTCACGATGTTTTACTTCACCGTTAAGACAAGTGGTAATTGTGTTAGAAATGATTCGCACATGAAAATATCAGAGGTGCGAGACCCGGGATTTGAACTTGCTTCACTCGGTTTCCCAGGCGAGCGCGTTACCACTAGGATACCACTACCTAGATACCTTTTACTTCAAGAAAATCTTTCTTTCCCACGGGAAAATACAATAACTGGTTTTATAGAGTCCTCCTTAGAAACATTCCGCTGGCTAAGCCTTAAGACATACATACATTAAAACAATATACAAAAAAATTGTAGGTCTTGAAAAGTCCTACAGAAAAGTTCTGAATTGTATATGTCTATCTCCTAAGTTACACTCGCAATATTTATTCTTATCTATACGTATAATAAAACTAACTTAGTCAAATCGATGTGCGCGTTTCACGCAAAAAGTACTCAACCGATTTTAACTAAATTTTGTAGTGATAAAACTTAGTACTCGGGTCAACATTTAGGATACCTTTTACGACAGGCAAATTATTGATTACTCGAAAACACAATAACTGGTTCTATCGAATCGTCCTTAGAAATTTATATATTTTTTTAACGTTGGGAAATGCATGTAAATTTATATGGCTAACATTGGCTCAACCTTAAGAGATAGATCAAAACATTGTGCAAGAAAATTGTAAGTCCTAAAAAGGTCTATAGAAAAGTTCTACATAGTATATGTCTTTCTCCTAAGGTACACTCGCTATAACTATTTTCATTATTATATATTACTGTTTTATTATACGTTATTTATTCTATTCTATCTATACATATAATAAAACTGTAGAGGTTATTTCTCTTCTTTTTGTCTGTTTGTACGGGCTAATCTCCGAAACTATTGAACCGGTTTAAATTAAATTTTGTATGGTAGTACCTTATATCCCCGGTCAACATCTAAGATACTTTTCATTCCAGAAAATTAAAGAGTTTCCGTGGGATAGGAAAAAAACTATAGTAATTTATACAGCTTAGTACACAACAACTTACGCACCTAATTTCGTAAAATTTGGCATGCTGATACCTTATACTGCCGGTCAAATAACAGGTTACTTTTCATCCCGGAAAAATGAACGGTTCCCGTGGGATAGATCTGTTTGTGCTATTCTAGAGGTGAACCCGAGCGAAGCGAGGGTGAGCCGCTAGATATTATAATAAAATTGTAACTAAGCCAAATCTATACATGAAATATTTTTTGAAAAATCTTATTGAAATAGACATTACTATCGATACAGGGGCAGAATCTGTAGTTTTTAGAATTTTTGTCTGTCTGTCTGTTAACGCATCATGAGAAAAGCACTGGACAGATTTTAATTTATGATGATGGTTTACAATACGATGGATATGGATACTTTTTACTATGGGAAAATATCTCATCTCTTGAGAAATCTGTGTATGTATTTCTTCATGCTATAATAGCTTAACAGATTTGATTGAAATACGCTATGGAGATTTTATAATAATTTCTTAGATTTACGCGAATATTTTACTTTTTAAATAAAACTATATTTCGTTTTTTTTCGCAGATACATTTTTAATTTTTTTGTTCCTGACGTTTCGAATGCTTTACACTTTACAGCAATCATTGTCGCGTTATTATGTGCATGACTTTTGCCTTTTTCTCCCGCGACATATCGCGATCACTATGATCCTCAATATATTGTGAAGCTCTATAGTATAGATGATTTTTTTTCATTTTATTAAAAATTTAATTAAAATGAGAAATTGTGCATTGTCAGGATACTAAGAAAATGAATATTATTTGCTCCTAAAAGATAAAAACTGAAGAAATCGTAGGTTAAAGCAATAAAAAGACCAAAATTAATGAAATCTAAAATCTTAATATTTAAGGCTATGTGGACATCACTTTACAGATTTCACTAACAATCAGTCAGGATTTTATTATTTGTATAGACTACTACATGTGAAGTCCGCCAACCCGCACTTGGCTAGCGTGGTGGACTATGGCCTGATCTCCCTCGTACTGAAGGGAGGCCCGTGCCCAGCAGTGGGATGTTAAAAAAGGGGCATACATACATAGACTACTTTGACAATGGATGTGACGTAATACTTTAAGTATAGAAAATTAGTAATTATAAAAAATTGACGAACCAACAGAAAGGGCCACCAGCGAAAACAACACAAGCGAAGAGTGGGGCTTGATCCTGGAGATCTGCGACCGCGCGGGCGCGAGCGCGGGCGCGGCGCGCGACTGCCTGCGCGCCGTGCTGCGCCGCCTCGCGCACGCCGACCCGCACGTGCAGATGCACGCCGCCACGCTGCTGGACGCCTGCGTCGCCAACTGCGGCCGCCACTTCCACCTCGAGGTGGCCTCGCGCGAGTTCGAGGCCGAGTTCCGGCGGCTGGTGGCGCGCGCGCAGCCCGCCGTGGCGCAGCGCCTGCGCGCCGCGCTGCGCAAGTGGGCCGAGGGCGAGTTCCGCAGCGACCCGCAGCTCGACCTCATCCCCTCGCTGCACGCCAAGCTGGCGGCCGAGGCCGGCGAGCGCGCGCCCGCCGCCGCGCCCGCCGCCGCCGACGCGCAGGTACATACACCACGTGTGGCGCGGTGACGCTACTTTGAATTTATTTATTTTATTTATTTATTCAGGTAAAAACAGTCGTAAACAAAAAATCTAGAACAGTAAGAATACAATTAGACCTATATTACCCTAAATTATTACAAATGAACTGATTTGTCATCAAAAGTGACGGATGCTAAATAAGTATGTTTACAAAAATAATAAGTGAAACTGATTAAATAAAAATATTAAACAAAACTAAATTGAAACTACTAAAAAAGAAACAAAAATACATATGTCTTATACAAGATTTAGGAATAAATTAGTTTATACAAAATTTCCGAAAAACTAAAACATTGATTGGTTTGTACCTACTGGCAAAATATAGGAAGCAATTATAGTAATAGTAACAAATAAATTTAAATAATATTATCATAGTACGAACAATAAACAATAAAAGCCCATAGTTGAATATTTCAAAGTTCACATTAAAATTTTACATTTTTTAAATCGAGTATACAAAGGGTGTAGCAGGATAAGTATTGCGAATCGGCCCCCAATGACAACTTCTTTTTAAATTCATGTTATAGTATCAACTCGATGTGTGTATGCAATTTATATGATTTTTTCTGCCGTATTCCACTTCAATCTAGAGATATGGTTGTATATATGACTATCCGTCAAACAGCCATATCTTAAAAAATAATTGAGCTAGAGAGATAAATCCAAAATAAGGTTGTAGGAAACGTTAAAGAGTATATTCAGTATTTTTTTTAGATTATTTAAATAATAACGAGCATTGATAATTAATAAATAAATATTTCATCTTTAATTTTTTTAGTGTTCTTGGTGACCTACAATCACCGAAAAAATATATGTTATAGTACTTGACAAGCCCTACTTACTCATTAAAATTATATTGAAAAAAAGTTGGTGCAACATTTAGAAAAAAAATAAAATTCGACGCACCTGTCGACGAACCTGTGTTTGACACAGAAGAATTTTGGAAGAAACGTAGCTTTTGTATCCAAAAATATTTTGCAGTCGTGACATGCACCATTTACAGTGGAGTTTAGTTCATAAAATTAGTTCGATAATTTATAAACTGAATTGTTTCGGACGACCAGAACCAGGGTATGTCTAGTACCCGGAGGTCGACCTGGGACAATCTCCCAGACGTTCTTGGCGTACACGGCAGTATGTCCGTTCGCTGGTAATGTACGCCACCACGCACCCCTGAATGCGTAGCTTGGGTCCCGATCCACTAGGGTTTCTTCGTTGACAGGAGACTATACTTAGAGGCGATGAAATAAAAACACAATTTTTTCCTTTTTTCTCTCTTGGTTTCGGTTCTTCCTTTTCCTTTTAGTTGTTGCCTCTTCGGTGGCTGTCTTGCGACTGACTCGAATCGAGAAACGGCTCGCCTTTTATTTGGCCCGGTAATACCTTACAGAGAGCCGCGTACTTTGAGCTCATTTTTCGAGTAAAATTTCCCTAAACCGAAACCTTGAGAGTCCTTTTATTTTATGTTTTCAGTAAAACACCTTACACATATTTATTTATTTACATGCCTTACATACTATTATACAATATTAAAACATAATATTCAATATATAATAATTAATTAAAAAAGTCTTAAAACAAAAATATCTAAATTTCTAGGTTGCTACATTTTTACTATACATTTTCCCTTATAACTTTTGAACGGATAGTCCTATCGACCTAATTCTTGTTTTATTATAAGTTTTATAATAAAATCTATTATTTAAAACATAAACTATTATGCTATTGCAAGAAACAAAAAATCTCATTTTCAAGTTACGTAATTATATGCTAACATTTTACTTACGTACCTATTCCTTTCAAATTGATGTTAAATAGTCTTATATGATTCAAATAAGCAAAAAATACTCTAAACTAACCTTATTACACTAATTAGAACTTATTTTAACATAATAAATCTAATAAGAATGAGATTTCATATTTACAACAATTATTCATAATACGCTAAAATGACATTGTCCCTATATTAATACACACGTTACTCGAAGATAGGTTTTCCGTCGCCGACATTCTCCCCCTCGTGCTTTGCACCAACTCCTGGACTCGGCGACGCTCCCGGCACCAACAGCACCACTCTCGAACTGGGCCTCCGTAGAACACCTCCTCTGGTCTCGACGTCGACGACTCTGGTCCGCCCGTCTGGTCCAGGATACACATGCAGGATTCTTCCGCGTGGCCAGATGCATCTTGGTAGGCTGTGATCGACGATCAGTACGATGTCTCCGACTTGCAAATCTGTGGCGCTGACTCTTCCTTTGGTCTTCCTTGGTAGTAGAGTGGGCAAATACTCTCTCAGCCAACGTTGCCAGAAGTGATCGGCAAGTCGCTGCGTAGCCTTCCAGGTGTGTCTGCCCACAAGCTCGTTGTCCTCGAAGTTGCCGATTCTTGCTGCGCCACATGATCGCCCGATGAGAAAGTGGTTCGGTGTAAGTGCTTCTTCTTCAGGGTTCTCGGAGAGGTGGGTGAGGGGCCGAGAGTTGACTATGTGCTCGGCCTCTAACAGGAGGGTATGAAGTACCTCCTCTCGTGGTTGCCTTTCGTTGAGCGTGGCGTCTAGTGCGGTTTTAATGGATCGCACCAGACGCTCCCATGCACCTCCCATGTTTGGTGCACCAGGAGGTATGAACTTCCACTGCACGCCGATCTTCTCCGCTTCCGAGATAAGGTCTTCTTGCTTCATGGTGTCTAGTGCTTCTTTGAGTTCTTTGTTGGCGCCAACGAAGTTAGTGCCATTGTCGGTGTAGATTATCTTTGGCATTCCTCTTCTCGCGGCGAATCGTCGTAGTGCCATGATCATGCTGTCAGTGGAGAGTGAAGGAGTGAGCTCAATGTGTACAGCTCGTGTTGTTAAGCATGTGAATAGAGCACCCCATCTCTTCTCATGGCGTCTTGCTACGGTGATCGTCATAGGGCCGAAGTAATCTATTCCCGTGCACGTAAATGGAGGGTTTCCGTGCATCAGCCTCTCAGCAGGTAAGTTGCCCACTGGTAGTTCTTGAGGTCTTGCCTTTCTTGTTTTGCACCACTGGCATTGATGTTGAATGGTCTTGATCGCTGACCTCAGTCCTAGCACCCAGAAGCGTTGTCTTACTTCGTTCATTACGGTCGCGTGATTCCCGTGATTGAAGCGGCAGTGAAATTCTTCTATGATGAGAAGTGTTGTCTTGTCCTTGCTGTCGAGTACGATGGGTCGTTTGTAGTCTCTGGTAACCCCTCGTATCGCGTCGATTCTTCCTTTCAGTCGCAGGAGACCTTCTTCTAGCACTACGTCGAGCCTTTTCAACTTGCTGCTGCCCTCTAATTGTTTTCCTTGCTGTAGGCACCTGATGTCCTCTTTGAAGCATTTCTCTTGACTTCTTCTTAACAACAGCGTTTCAGCTTGCTCTAGTAGACTTGTTTCCAATGGTATGTATTTCCTTTCTGACGTTTTTGAAGACAGATGTCGCTTCTCAACAATTTTCTTATTCCTTTTTGTAGTTTTCCAGGTAGGATCTTCTTTGCTGGCGTGGACCTTTTCCTTTCTTCTGCAGAGTTGTATGAACTGCAGTACTCTTGCTGTAGCTCGCCAAAGTCTTTTCCACGACGAGAACTTTTCGGGATCTGGTGATGGATAGGAGCTGCCTGCAGTCGCTACGATGTCCGCTGCCTTTTCTTCGCCAGTGGTTTCTTTCTTGAATGTTCTTGCCGCAGGCCAGTGAACTTCATCTCTTCTTAGAAACCCTGGTCCGGTGTACCATCGGTGTTGGCAGTCGAAGTGTTCTGGTACGTCACGTGTTGCATCATCTGCAGGGTTCTGCGCCGTCGGTACCCATCTCCAGTCCTGTGGTTTTGTGAGATCTTCTATCTCCGCCAAGCGATGAGCCACGAATGTCTTGAAGGTTCTCGGGTCCGTCTTGATCCATGATAGCACGATACTGGAGTCTGTCCAAAACGTCTTCTTTTCTATTTTCAGATCCATTTCTTCCTCGACCGAGTGTGCCAATCTGCTTCCTAGGAGGGCCGCTTGCAGCTCGAGTCTCGGGATTGACACCGGCTTCAACGGAGCGACTCTTACTTTTGCTGCTACTAAGCTGACGTCATAAGTCCCATTTTGATTTTCAGTTCTCCAATATACCGTAGCTGCATACGCCATTTCGCTTGCATCCGTGAACGTGTGCAGCTCCCCCTCGGTGCGACGTGGTGCCAGACATCTCGGGATCTGAAGGTCTTGGAGCAGCTTCATCTTCTCCAGGTAAGTCTTCCATGACTCGTACTCCTTTTCTTCTATCTCTTCATCCCAACCGACGCCACTTCGCCATATGTTCTGGAGCAGCCTTTTGCCTTGGATGAGAATTGGTGATGCTAGCCCTAGTGGATCGAAGGTCGACATCACGGCGCTGGTGACTTCTCTCTTCGTAGGTACCTTGAGTCCTTGTGCCACTTCATCTGGCGTGTTCCGAAGGTTCGCCCTAAAGCCTATGGAGTCCCTTTCTGTAAACCAGCGTAGTCCCAGTGTCTTCTCTTCCTTCTCACCAAGGTCCACCTCTGTCTTCTCAACTGACTCAGTCTTCACGTCTTGCAGCAGGTCGGAGTGGTTTGACGCCCATCCTCGGAGTTCGAAGCCCGCCTTTTTGTGAATGAAGTCCACCTGCGCTGTAATTCTCTTGAAGTCCTCTTCTGAATGGAAGCTGTGCAGGTAGTCATCCATGTAATGGTTCAGCTCGATTGCCTTTGCTGCCTCTGGGTACTGCTTCTTGTAGTCCGCCGCGTTCCGGTTCTTCACGTAGATCGCTGTGCTAGGAGATGATGTCGCGCCGAAGATGACTGATGTCATTCTGTACTCCTTCGGTGCTACGTCACGACGATCCCCTCGCCACAGGAACTTCAAGCTGTTTCTATCTTCTGGCCGGATGCGAACTTGCAGGAACATTTCCTTTATGTCGGCTGCCACTGCAAACGGGCCTTGCCGGAACCTCAGTAATACCCCGAAGAGCGATTGCAGTAGGTCTGGTCCCGGTAGTAAAGCGTCGTTGAGGCTTCTCCCTTTAGACTTGGCTGCAGCGTCGAAGACGATCCTTATTTTCTTCTTCAATGGATGTACCACGGAGAAATGAGGGAGGTACCATGTCTTCTTTGAATCTTCTTGTCCACCAGGTGCTTCTTCTGCATACTTGCTGTCGATTAGCTGCTGGATCTGCTTATTGTATTCTGCCTTCAGCTGAGGGTCTTTGTCTATCTTCTTTTCAATGTTGAACAATCGGTTCTTGGCAGACGTGTAGCTTTCAGGCATCTGTTCATCTTCATTTTTCCATAGAAGTCCAGCTTCAAATCGACCATCTTCTAGTCTTCTGCAGGTCTTCTCTAGGATGGTGAGTGCTCTTTCTTCTGAATCCGTAGTGGGTCTTCTTGGTAGTACTCCAAGTGCTTCGATTGCGAAGTGATCCTTGATGGCTTGATGCATCTCTTCTTCTGGCGTGCTGACATGTAGACACGTGTTTAAGAAGTGCACCACTTTCGCGCCTCCAGTGTCTGACCCGTGGAGCACCCATCCAAGTCCTGTTCTTGAAGCGACTGGTTGTCCTGGTTTCCCTCTTCTTACTTCTTGAGTCACGATTAGCTCCCAGTTGTCTTGACCGATGAGCAGCTGTGGTGACTCCCCCTTATAATATAGAGAGTCAGCAATCTTCTTCAAGTGTTGACACTCTTCTATCCTTTTCTTTTCTAGGAACTGCGGTGCAAGCTTCAACTCTTCGATGGTCCGGACTCTTCTCAAGGTCTTCTTGGTCTTCTGATGAATCCCCTTCACCGTAAGGTCCAGCATCTGAGAGTCTTCCTTCCTTATCAGCCTGCCTCCAACAGTCTCGATGACCAGTTCCTCCTTTCTTCCTTGAGCGCCGATTTCTTCTGCTACCTTCTGGTCTAGCAGCGACACTGTTGACCCTTCATCCATGAGGGCCAATATCTTCTTTGATCCTTTTGACCCGAAGATTTCTATCGGAATTATCTTCAGGTATGCCCTTGCGTTGTTGACCGCATTCACCGATGCCATGATGCTCGCCACTTCTTGTGGTTTGTTCTTCTGTTCTTCCGAGGAACTTTTCTCTGTCTCGACGTGCAGCAGATGATGATGCCACCTCTTGCATTCCTTGCACGACGGCTTCTTGCAGCTCTCCTTCCGATGTGTCCCTTGTAAACACTTGAAGCAAACGCGGCTTTTCTTCACTATTGCCCATCGATCTTGCACAGACGCCTTCAGGAACTTCTGACACCCGACGAGGAAGTGTTCACCCTCACACATGGGGCAAGTCTTCTCTGATCTTGAAACCTTTTCTTTGAAGTCCTTTTCCTTAGTTGAATGCGTTGCTTGTCTATGAGTCCGTCTGAACCCGCTCTTCTCTTCTGTTGATGCATAGGCTCCACACTTGTCTGCTTCTCTGTTCAGGAACTTGGACACCAGTGTTAGGTCGGAGAACTCGCCTTCTTCTGTTGTTTCAATGAAGTCGTACCATCGGAACTTGAGGATCGTAGGCATCTTCTCAATAATTTGTTTCACCATCTCAGGTGAATGCAGGTACTGTGGTTTCTTCAATCCTTTTATTGCCGCTACGCTGTTGCTGATCTGGCTCGCGAAGAGGCATATGTCCCTTGGGTTTTCAGAAATCTTCGGCAACGTTTTGACCTTGTCCAACTCTGCCAGCACCAGTGCATCTGGTCTTCCATATCTTCTTCTGAGGGCTTGAATCACTTCCATCGGAGAGGCTTCGGAGTACAGCAGACTCTTGATAGCTTCTCTTGCGTTGCCCTTCAGTGCTCTTCTTAGCCGAGCCATATTCTGGACGTTGTTGAACATCGGTGCTGTATCTTCATAGACAACCTTGAAGGCCATCCACTCGCTGCTGTTGCCGTCGAAGTAGGGTAACTCGTGAATGTAGGTTGGCTGTCCTGCTGTTCCTCGCGTGGTAAGAGCTTCCTTCAATGCTGCCGTCAGTGCTTGAATTTCAATCGTAGCTCCTCTCGTTGAGGAGTTCTCTTCAGGCTTCATCTTCTGTGGCTCTTCCAAGGGGTGTGGACCTCGCATCTCTGGTTGAACTTTGTTGCCATCCTCCAGCACAGACGTCTCGATCCAGTTCTGCACCTGTGCTGTTCTGTCTTCCAGGTCTTCATCCACGGAGTCCTCTTCTTCACACTGTGCCATCTCCAATCTGACACGGGCTAGCTTAGTTTCAGCCTGTGCTTGCTTCAACTCCAGGCGTGCCAACTCTTCCTTTGCTTCTAGCTCGCGTCTTCTGGCCGAGGAACTCGTGGTCTTCGTGGACCTGGCGCGACGACTGACCCCCATCGGTTTCAGGGTCTTGGAGGAGCCTTGAACATCCTTTCCAGGTACATCTTCTTGGCTCTTCCTGGTCATCCTCTGTGCAGCATCTTCTTTGTTGCCTTCCATAGACGCCGCCGTAGTTGCAGTCGTAACCGTAGTCTCCGTCACTGTGGTGCCCTCCGTGGTCGTGGTACCCGAAGAAGTGTTCGATGTAGTTGCAGTTCCCGATGACGCCGACGCTGACGTGACCCCTTCTGATCCCGACGTTCCATCTGTCGCGTCCCTATCTGAAGGACGGGACCCGGGACGTGAGGGGGCATCCTTCTGCGACCTGGTTACCGGCATCTTGAACGCAATCTTCTGTTTCTTCTGAACTTCTTCTAGCAGGGATCCGGCTCGAAGGACCAACTGTTTCGGACGACCAGAACCAGGGTATGTCTAGTACCCGGAGGTCGACCTGGGACAATCTCCCAGACGTTCTTGGCGTACACGGCAGTATGTCCGTTCGCTGGTAATGTACGCCACCACGCACCCCTGAATGCGTAGCTTGGGTCCCGATCCACTAGGGTTTCTTCGTTGACAGGAGACTATACTTAGAGGCGATGAAATAAAAACACAATTTTTTCCTTTTTTTCTCTCTTGGTTTCGGTTCTTCCTTTTCCTTTTAGTTGTTGCCTCTTCGGTGGCTGTCTTGCGACTGACTCGAATCGAGAAACGGCTCGCCTTTTATTTGGCCCGGTAATACCTTACAGAGAGCCGCGTACTTTGAGCTCATTTTTCGAGTAAAATTTCCCTAAACCGAAACCTTGAGAGTCCTTTTATTTTATGTTTTCAGTAAAACACCTTACACATATTTATTTATTTACATGCCTTACATACTATTATACAATATTAAAACATAATATTCAATATATAATAATTAATTAAAAAAGTCTTAAAACAAAAATATCTAAATTTCTAGGTTGCTACATTTTTACTATACATTTTCCCTTATAACTTTTGAACGGATAGTCCTATCGACCTAATTCTTGTTTTATTATAAGTTTTATAATAAAATCTATTATTTAAAACATAAACTATTATGCTATTGCAAGAAACAAAAAATCTCATTTTCAAGTTACGTAATTATATGCTAACATTTTACTTACGTACCTATTCCTTTCAAATTGATGTTAAATAGTCTTATATGATTCAAATAAGCAAAAAATACTCTAAACTAACCTTATTACACTAATTAGAACTTATTTTAACATAATAAATCTAATAAGAATGAGATTTCATATTTACAACAATTATTCATAATACGCTAAAATGACATTGTCCCTATATTAATACACACGTTACTCGAAGATAGGTTTTCCGTCGCCGACATGAATATATATTTATGTTCCATATATATTCTTAATTATAATCTTGGACACAGGTACATATAAGTATTTTATGATAATTTGAATAATTGCTAGAAAATAAATCGTACGTAATTATAAATACAGTCGAATCTTCCAATATTATTGACTCAATCATATAAAATCTTTTTTTTTCTGTGTTTCCTTTCAGAACGAAAAAAATACCGCGCTGCCGAATACTAGACTAACTCTTTTTATCTCCACTCTACTACTATTTCATATACGCAAGTCCACGCAGTCATCTGCGTGACGTTAAAAAAAAAAGTATACGGCGCATTCAAGAGACGATCAAGTTCAGACTTGTCACAACGTTACTCGTTGTTTCGTACATTTAACCTACTCAAAACTAATTGTTATCATTTATTAATAGAAGTTATTGTCTTATTGCGAATATCTTTTTATTTCCTTTAACAATAACTTCAATCCATCAAATAACGTATGACTTGTGCCATAATCATGACTTGTATGATGACCTGCCCAGCGAATTTTATTTTTTTTCTAAATGTTGCACCAACTTTTTTTCAATATAATTTTAATGAGTAAGTAGGGCTTGTCAAGTACTATAACATATATTTTTTCGGTGATTGTAGGTCACCAAGAACACTAAAAAAATTAAAGATGAAATATTTATTTATTAATTATCAATGCTCGTTATTATTTAAATAATCTAAAAAAAATACTGAATATACTCTTTAACGTTTCCTACAACCTTATTTTGGATTTATCTCTCTAGCTCAATTATTTTTTAAGATATGGCTGTTTCACGGATAGTCATATATACAACCATATCTCTAGATTGAAGTGGAATACGGCAGAAAAAATCATATAAATTGCATACACACATCGAGTTGATACTATAACATGAATTTAAAAAGAAGTTGTCATTGGGGGCCGATTCGCAATACTTATCCTGCTACACCCTTTTACGATGATCTTAATTTCGTCGCTATCAGGATGTACGGTAATTGTTCAAGCGTGCATAATAGACGACCAACAATATACCTTAATTTTAAACACCTCATTAAAACAAACGTTACAGACCGTTAGCGCAGCGGAGAAACGGGAGCAAGAAGAGCTAGCTCGCGCCATAGCGCTGTCGCTGCGCGAGAGCGGCGCGGGCGCGGCGGGGGCGGGCGCGGGCGCGGGCGCGGGGGGCGCGCTGTACCCGCGCGTGGACGAGGCGCCGCCCCCCGCCGCCGCCGCCCCCGCCGCGCCGCGCAAGGTGCGCGCGCTGTACGACTTCGAGGCCGCGGAGGACAACGAGCTCACCTTCCTCGCGGGCGAGACCGGTCAGTGCCCTCAGCCTCTCCCGCCCCGCGCCCGATGCAGGCCGTTTCGTAGACTAGCTCGTGACATCACTGTCACGGGCGACTCTACTAGAAGATTTTTTAACGTTGGATAATGCATTTAGGCACGACGTGTGGGACTCACCGGCGAAGCCAGTACTACCCACTAAAATCGCTAGGCGCGCCGACCCGCATAGCATACCGCCCACCGAGATGGGCCACCTCTCAGTGCGCTTCTTGGTTAGGCGCCCGGTTGAACTTTTTTTAGTAAAATTATAAAAATTGCATATTTATTATAAGCAGTCGTTCTTTAGTTTTAACCGATATTCCTGCGAATTTTTTAGGAGATCGAAATCGGGTATATCGCATTAAGTGATCGGTCGCTTAAATATCATGTCGACATTGCAGTGCACGTGACGGACTGGAGCGACCCGAACTGGTGGAAGGGCTACAACGAGCGCGGCGAGGGGCTGTTCCCCGCCAACTTCGTGACGGCGGAGGCGGAGGCGCCGCGCTCGCCCGAGCGCGCCGGCGAGCGCGAGCGCGAGCGCCGCGCGCCGAGCGCCGACGACGAGCCGCTCGCCATCGACGAGGCGGCCATGGACGCGGCGCTGGCGGCGCTGCACGAGGCGGACCCGAGCGCGCCCGACGCCGGCGCGAGCGCGCCCGACCGCCGCGAGGCGCGCGTGCTGCGCATGGGCCCGCTCGTGGACGCGGCGCTGGAGCGCGCCGACCGCCGCCACGCGCGCCTCACGCAGCTCAGCGCCGACCTCGTGGACGCGCTCAAACCTCTACCACGACCTCATGCGCGACCCCAAGCCCGCGCCCGCGCCGCCCGCCGCCTTCCGCCCCTACGCGCTGCCGCCGGGCGCGCTGCCCCCGGGCGTGTTGCCCCCGGGCGCGCCGGCCCCGGGCGCGCTGCCCCCCGCGCTGCCCCGGCGCTGCCCCCGGGCGTGTTGCCCCCGGCGCGCCGGCCCCGGGCGCGCTGCCCCCCGCGCTGCCCCCGGCGCTGCCCCCGGGCGCGCCGCCGCCGCCGCGCTGCTGATGGCGGCCCGAAGCGATACTGTAAATAAAGATGCCGTCATTCCCTAAATTCATATAAATTATTGTGATCGATGCTTATGTTATTAGTTTATTAATATATTGATTGTTTAAAATTAACCACTCTTTAACTGAAGTCCTCTTAACAATTATGAAAATGTCCAAATATTGCGAGTATGTTACACTGATCCATTAATGTTATTTACACTATCATAAGTTAATTCAATTTTGTATAGGAATATATGGTAGAGACAAGAGGCAAAAGTGTAAGGAAGAGTAAGACATTATACGCACTCTTTCTCAATGTACGCCGCACTGCTCTGGAATTCCTTTCATTCATTATATGACATATAGCCTACTAAGCCTAGCCTTCCCCAATAAACGGGATATTAATGCAAAAAGAATTCAAATGGGATTAGTAGGGAGTTCCTAAGATTAGCGCGTTCAAACAAACATACTAACAAATAAACAAACAAATTTTGCCTCTTTATAATATAATAAAGTATAGGTTTACTAAACCCCCAAAGTGAAGTAACAAAATTATAGTAAACCCTCGAGTACCTAAAGCATCGGTGAAATAAGGAAAGGAAAAGCCGAACCTATACTCAAGGGCCTATGCAGTATGCACACAACGACTTTTAGATGTCTAAGTATGTAGGTAAATTTTTAAAGACTAATAATCCAAAATAATTTATAACTTGTCAATAAATAAATTAACTCCTTGTTATACCAGTAGGTATAAATAAATAAATAAATAAAAGGAAGATTTCGAAGAATAGGGCATAGAAATCTCGAACAGTTAAGGCATAAGTACCTATCAACCCCCCGACGTGTGTTCACCTTGTGGTGGAGGGAGAGTCGCAGCCGGCGTGACACCAGGAGACGCACTGGAAGGTGGCCCACTTCGGTGGGCGGCGTACCGGCATAAATAATACAATTACGACTACTTAAACTAGATGTACACTAGGTTTTATAACTTATTAACCTTATATTTCCACAATCTTCTTTCAAATTCTAAAGGAATATTTATAAGAACTAGCTAAACATTATCAAAGACCTGTTATATAACCACAAAGTGATTTACATTATTAATAATTACTTATTTATTAATTAATGGACGATATCTATTATCAGGCGCTATTATAATTAATAAATATTTACGTACAGAATAAGATAATTTGTAGATCAAGTATCAACGATACGCTATCGATGTTTAGCAAAAGGAAACTACGATAAAATCACCTACATTATGTCGGTGAATTATATGCGAGTTGTATCATTGTACTTACTTTCTTATAAAAGATGAAGTAGAAAATGTGCAAAAAATAGAGGTCGTCGAGCTTGCTAAATACATTAAACGAAAATGAATTTACAGAATATACGTAAAATACTTATTCATTCAGATACTGGACATTTTAAGTTACGATCACATTTTTTTTGTTTTCCATTAAGTATATCTTTAAAAAAAACTTTTTAACAAAAAAATAAAAACCGACTTCAAACAAAAGCACTAAAAAGTAAAAAATAACTGATTGGTAGTTTTCATTTACTATACATACCTAATCAAATATTTTCGAAGTCGGTGTGCTTTGGCTAAGTAATTAAAGCCTACTTATTAAATACATACCTACTCAAATATTTTCGAAATCGATGCCAGCCCATACAAAGCAAAGCACACCGACTTCGAAAATATTTGATTAGGTATGTTTAGTAAATGAAAACTACCAATCAGTTATTTTTTACTTTTTAGTGCTTTTGTTTGAAGTCGGTTTTTATTTTTTTGTTAAAAAGTTTTTATTTTTCCCTTTTTAGTGAAGACAGTAGTAGCAAAGTAAGGATTCTAACGTGTTAGGCTTGTCAAATCAAACAAAATAAGCTCACTCTCAAAGTATCTACTATTAGCCGTTGAAGAGTTCCACCTATCCACCTTTTGGCCTTGCCATCAGATCAGGTCAACAACACCAAACCACTGTACTATTAACGGAAATACTTGCAAAGTTTCAAGTCAATATGACAATTAGAAGTAGGTTAAATTCATCATTAGTTGTTTTTCCACCCTTAGGGGTGATATTTTTTTTTGAAATTTAAATGGGACCAATCTGGAAGTATACCCTTTCAAACAAAACAAAAACTGTCCAAATCGGCTAATAAATGACGGAGTTCTGAGGTAACAAATATAAAAAAAAAAACATACAGTCGAATTGAAAACCTCCTCCTTTTTGAAGTCGGTTGAAAATAATATGAAACGCGAACTTATTTTTGCAATTAATAAAATATGTATTGTGAAAACATAAAAAATATATTTGTGTGTATTTAGTACGTTAGGTAGAACAGCACAATATTCGGCGGTGCGGAACCCTCGATGCGCGAGTCACAATCATACACGTTTGAAAATTACCACAGTCATCAAATTATTACTAATTACCATAAGCCGAGTTTTTTATAGTTTTAGTGCAAGCGAAGGCGCGGGTTCTAGCTAACCAGCTATAAGAGCCGTTGTATATTAAGTGCATTAAAAATTGTTATATTGTAATAGCCACTGGTAAATGTAATAACAAAATAAATAAATCGTTCAAAGAAACTAATATTCGAGTGATTTTAATTAAAAATTCGTAAACATTTTTTTATGATATTATTTAAACGAGTAGGTATTCCAAGGCGAGTTATGGTGCATCGCTAGTCTAACTCTAAACATCTATACTATAATAAAACAGTAGAGGTCGAATGTCTGTACATAGCAAAAAAAATGCTAAAAACCGAGTCAGGAGGATGTAAGAAGACAAATAGAACAAATCCGGTTTTTTTTTTCAATTTTTTGTTTCTCTGTCTGTTTGTACGGGTTAATCTCCGAATCTATTGGACCGATTTAAATAAAATTTTGCATGGTGGTACCTTATATGCCCAGTCTACATCTTAGATACTTTTTATCCCGGAAAATTAAATAGTTCCCGTGGGATAGTTAAAAAACTATAATAACATATACAGCTCAGTACACAAAAACTATTGATTGGATTTTAATAAAACTTTACAATAATATAGTTCATATATGTCAATAACAATTCGGCTACTTTTCATCCCGGAAAATTAAAGGGTTCCCGTGTGACAGTCACCAAACTAGTAAATTATACAGATTAGTACACAAAAACTATTGATTGCATTTTGATGAAACTTTACAATAATACAGGTCATACGTCAGAATAACAAATAGGTTACTTTTTATCCCGGAAAACTGTACGGTTCCCGTGGGATAGATGTTTCGTTTATTTGTAACGTATTATGTACACAACATAGACCCAAAAACAATAGTTATTAAAAATTTGTCTGTTTGCCTGTATGTCTGCTTGTCTGTTTTTGTATGTGCGTTTCACGCGAAAAGTAATGAACCGATTTCAACGAAATTTAGTGAAGTGATAACTTATTACTCGAGTCAACGTTTAGGATACCTTTTACTTTTCTTTCTCACGGGAAAATACAATAACTGGTTTTATCGACTCCTCCCTAGAAACCTTCCGCTGGCTAAACCTTAAGACATACATACCTCAAAACAATATACTAAAAAATTGTAGGTCTTGAAAAGTCCTACAGGAAAGTTCTGAATAGTATATGTAAATCTCCTAAGCAATATGTATTCTTATTTATACCTATAATAAAACTAACTTAGTCAAATCGATGTGCGCGTTTTACGCAAAAAGTACTGAACCGATTTGAACTAAATTTTGTATAGTGATAACTTAGTACTCGGGTCAACATTTAGGATACCTTTTACGACAGGCAAATTATTCATTTCCACGGGAAAACACAATAACTGGTTCTATCGAATTGTCCTTAAAAATTTATAATTTATATGGCTAACGCTGGCTCAACCTTAAGAGATAGATCAAAACATTGTACAAGAAAATTATAAGTCTTAAATAGGTCGATAGAAAAGTTCTCAATAGTATATGTCTTATCTCATAAGGTACACTCGCTATAACTATTTTCATTATTATATATTACTGTTTTATTATACGTTATAATAAATATTGCCTGTATGTCTGTTTGTCAGTTTGTTTGTAAGTTTGTACGGGCTAATCTCCGAAACTTTTGACCGATTTAAATGAAATTTTGCATGGTGGTACCTTATATCCCCGGTCAACATCTTAGATACTTTTCATCCCAGAAAATGAAAGAGTTCCAGTGGGATAGTTAAAAGCTATAGTATCTTATACAGCTTAGTACACAACAACTAATGCACCTAATTTAGTAAAATTTAACATTCTGATACCTTATATTGCCGGTCAAACAACAGGTTACTTTCATCCCGGAAAAATGAACGGTTCCCGTGGGAACTAATAGATCTCTGTTAGTGTTTTTCTTGAGGCAAACACGAGCGAAGCGAGGGTGGGCCACTAGTATTTGAATAAAACACAAAAAGTTTGATAAGATCATATCATTTAACATATTCGGATACGTAATTAAAAAAGGGATCAGTGTCAGGCCTTGGAAATATTGTTCAGTGATTCATTATCACTTACTAATAATTGATCGCACGTTTTATATTTAACATCAATAGATACGAATATTATCAATAAGAGAGATTAAACATTTTTATAAAAGACAGAATTTTAGCAGAGCCGTCATAAAATATAGGAACATGAAGTGGTTCACTGTGTTGGTAGCGACGCTGGCGGCGAGCGCGGTGGGCGCGGCGGCGCAGCGGTCGCCCAACGCGCGCCTCGTGGAGCACAGCATGGCGGGCGCGGCCCCGCCCGGCGCGCGCTACTCCGACAACATCGTGCAGGACGCGCTGCTCGACGTGGTGAGCCAGACACCGTCGAAACAATCAATTCGATCTTATAATGTTTCTCTTAGATGTACTTAATACCATTGTTTATTTAGTTAACAATCCCGGAAATTGATATGAATGCATTCAGCCCTTTTTAACGTCCCACTGCTGGGCACGGGCCTCCCTTCAATACGAGGGGGATCAGGCCATAGTCCACCACGCTGGCCAAGTGCGGGTTGGCGGACTTCACATGTCTTTCGAAAACTTGCTGGGTTCTCTCAGACATGCAGGTTTCCTCACGATGTTTTCCTTCACCGTAAGGCAAGTGGTAATCATGTTAGAAATGATTCGCACATGAAAATATCAGAGGTGCGAGACCCGGGATTTGAACCCGCTTCACTCGGTTTCTCAAGCGAGCGCGTTACCACTGGGCTACCACTGCCTTTATATATTGATATGAATAATGATAAATAATATTTATGTTTGTCCATCTAATTATTCAAAGAAATATCTCATAAATTAGGTAGAGACAATATATTTATATATGACACATTTGGCTCAGTTTATAGTGGCCTTACTTGCTGTGCCAGAAGTTGCGGGTTTCGAGTCCCGCTGGGGGCATTCAATATGTGATGTGCACGAATGTTTGTACTCCAGTCATTGTGTTTATATTTATAATGTGTAATTATTTAAAATTATATATATATATATATATATATATATATATATATATATATATATATATATATATATATGTAGTGTATCAACTATCTGGTATCTATAATACAAGCCTCGGAACCAGGGACCGTAAAACCCGGGTTTAGAGTTAAGCCAAAAAAAACGGTTACCCATTCAAAATGAACGTAGAAAAACCTTGTTACCCATTAAATGTGTAACCTACCTTTAAGCAAATGAAATGTGTTAATCATTTGTAATGATAGCCCTACTATAGAATTAACCCTATCGAAAGGGTTACCACATCGTTTTACGTGAACATCCCGAAACTTACTTTTTAACTGGTGATGAAGAAAGGGTGGGGGAATATACCTATTTGTTTCTAAATTCGTGTAGCACTGCAAAACAATGTTAATTTAAAGTTTCATACTCCTACCTGTGCTCGTTTACTTATTAAAATATATAATGAACCGTCACAAACGTAAGTATTGTAGAAAGAAGATAATATAAGATAATAATATTTATAAGAAGAAAGACGATTGACAAGTGTCAACTGACATTCAAAAAATACATTTTATAATTACATTTAATTTATCTATATAAATATATATCGTATATATATATATCTTTTATATATCCTAGTACGCATGGAGGCATCAATGAATAACTCTCCATCAGTGACGGACTTGTATGAGATGGGTATGAGTACACCCCCCAGCTATGTATTCCAGCGGACAAAGAGAAGCATAGATGGAATTGATGACTCGATAATTAAACAGCTTGAGGAGTTTAAAGAAGAGATAAGAAAAATGTTGTGTCACTACTCAGAAAAACAAGAAAAAGAGATGCAATATATGACCACTACTTTAAAAGAAATCCAACAGTCTAATATTTCTATTGAGAACTCGATCGCATATCTTACGGCTCAAAATCAAGAACTTAAAGCAAAAGTATATCAACTAGAAAATCAGTCCAAAGAAGAGAAAAAGTACATCAAATTATTAGAAGATAAAATTGAAACGATTCAGATGAGTAACCAAAAGCGCAACTTTGTTATCAAGAACGTGCCTAAAAGAACCAATGAGACCAAAGAAGACCTAATTGAAATGACTCTGTGTCTCGCTAAGAACATTGACTGTCCGATCACCAAACATGACATAAAAGACATATATAGGGCTCATGGCAAACTTAATACACCGATAATTGTGGAAACTGGTTCGACACTAATCCAGAAAGAGGTAATAAAAATGGGTAAGGCATTTAATATAAAACATAAATCAAAATTACGTTGTATACATCTCGGCTTTAAAACACATGAGGATACACCCATTTTTCTCTCGGAGCACTTAACTCCAAAGGGTTCTCGTCTTCATTTCCTTGCTCGTGATTTAAGAAAATCTGGTGCTTACAAATTTTGCTGGACGGCCTATGGCAAAGTTCTATTAAAGAAGGATGAAAAATCGCCAACAATAATTATTAGAAGTGAGCAACAGATACAAGAGCTTAAAATGAATAAATGACTAGCTCATTTTATAAAATATTATAATTTAAATTATAAACAAGGCACAAGAAAGTTTTTTTGCGTCTTGTTATATTTATTATGCTCCTATTGTATACAAATATTTTTCTTTTCTTATCATAATAGAATAATAACTCCTTACATTTGTTACTACATAATATATAATACAAATAATTGTTACTTAAATATATATAGCGTACATATCAACAAACTTTATTACTTAACATACATTTTATCATACTCTTATATACATAAAAAATACACACCAAATACACACAATCACTATCAATACACACACTATGCACACAATTATATACATAATTATACACACTACTCATACTTATACACTTACCACTTACATGTCCACTACCCGATTACTAATTATACTCACACTTCTTGCTCACATACTCTTTTATTATGGTTTATAATACGTTTTGTACTACTTGGCCTCGTCTTAAGCTATGGAATAGTAACAATAATTAAAGACTCTCGAAATACTTCTGTACTGAACACATTATATAAATATAAATTAAATTTAACTTTAATATGTATACGACTTGATGGTACGTTTTCTCTATTAAAAACTAGATATAATGGGTGATTCGATACGGACTCAAAATGAAATTGATAATTTTAAAATAGCACGCACATTTGAATGTGACTGTTCAGAACTAACAAAATATATACATATAAAAAGTAATGACTTTACCGTTGTTTCTCAAAATATAAGAAGTATTTCATGTAATTTTGACAGTTTTATAGTATCTTTATCGAAATTTAAGTTCGAACCAGATGTTATTCTTCTGACGGAGTGTAGATTAAGTCCTGAAAAACCAATTCCACAACTTAAGAATTATTCCTCTTTCTATACAACTTGTCATTTGAACCAAAATGATGGTGTTGTCGTATATATAAAAAATAATTTAAAATGTAAAGTAAGAGAAATAAAATTGTCCCTAGCATCATGCATACAAATTGATATCCTAAATAACATAATTTTATGTATCTATCGATCCCCATCGAACATAAATGCTGACAGTTTTATATTCTCTCTTAATACTCACCTAGATAACCTAAAGTCACAAAAAAATATTATCATAGCAGGTGACATAAACATTAACTTAAAACCTGGGGAATCAACATCATCGTATGAGAACACTAACAGAAATAATTATCTCAACATGTTGTCACTCCACGGTATATTGCCTGGACATACTTTGGCGACCAGAGATACAAATTGCTTAGACCATTTTATGCTTAAGATTAATAAACAAAAAATATCGGCTTCAATTGCTATCTTACACACTAGTATCACCGATCACTACACAACTCTTTTATCATTATCCAAACTAAATAATATATATACTGCCAGTAAAATTAAATCAACTATAAATTTTGAAGAAGCTTATAAATACCTATTAGATAATAATCTTGCTAACCTTCTTTTCTGCGACAACCCGGAGTCTCTTGCTAACCTTTTAATACACAAACTAACTGAATCAATTAATAAAAATACAGTCCATCTTAAAATTCCAAATAGTAAACGCATAATAAAAGCTTGGATTAGTCCAGGTATTCTTCGTTGTATAAATAACCGCAATAAATTACAAAAAAAACTTAAACACGACCCTTATAATGAATTATTAAAAATAGCATATATAAGATACAGAAACCATTGCAACAATCTAATAAAAAAATTAAAACGGAAGTATGAGACAGAATTAATTATTAATAATATTTCTAATAAGAAAAAACTTTGGGATAATCTAAAACAATATCTTACTCTAACCAAAAAAATAATTATAGTGAAGAATTATTAAGTATAAGATCATCACCTCTAGAATCCGTTAACTACATTAATAATTATTTCGCGAACATCGGAAAAGATCTTACACAAAAAATACAGCCATGTCACTCTGCCTCCAATGACGACCATTATACATTGCCACCTTCACAACCTAATTCCTTCGTTCTGCTAGATGCAGATGAAGATGAAGTGAATCGTGTCTTAATGAGTCTTAAATCTGATAGTGCGTCTGGTTGGGATAATGTACCAACACGATTTCTTAAATATATAAGAAAGGATATCGTTCCTTTATTAACTCACCTTGCTAACCTCTGCTTTAGAAAAGGTATTTTTCCTAGTCCTCTAAAGCAGGCTATTATTACGCCTGTTCATAAAGGTGGGGACAGAGACGACATAACAAATTATAGACCTATTTCAGTATTACCCTCAATATCCAAAATAATAGAAAAACTTATTAATATTAGGCTTTTAACATACCTTAAAGATTATAATATCATCTCAAAATCACAATATGGATTTCGTCAGGGCATTTCCACCGAGCACGCAGTAACTGCACTAACTAAAATTGTAACAGAACAATTAGACAACGGTAAACCGTGTCTAACTGTATTCCTTGATCTAAAAAAAGCGTTTGATACTGTCTCTGTCCAAATTCTTGTAAAAAAGCTTGAACATATTGGGGTACGTGGAATTCCACTACAGCTCTTAAATGACTACCTCTCAAATAGGAAGCAGAAAGTTAGGGTTACTCATTACACAAGTGAATATACAGACGTATCATATGGTGTTCCGCAAGGCAGTGTCCTGGGACCTACTCTGTTTGTCATCTATGTAAACCAGCTCTGTAATATACAACTAACAAATACTAAGGTATTCTCATATGCTGATGATACAGCTCTTGTCTTTACGGGTAATTCTTGGCACGAGGTACGGCTTAATGCCGAAATAGGGTTGGCTAAAGTAGCCAGGTGGTTGTCTAAGAACCTACTCACACTGAACATTTCTAAAACAAATTATATATGCTTTAGCATATGTAAACGTAAACAACCTAGAGAAGATTTCAATATAAAAATACATCTGTGTAATAATGATAAAAGCACTACCTGCAGTTGCTTAAATATAACGAGGGTTCCATGTGCTAAGTATTTGGGTGTTTTCATTGACCAGAGATTATCTTGGCATTCCCAAATCGATCATGTGGCAAACAGAGTCAGAAAATTGAGCTGGATGTTTCGGTCCCTAAGACACATAGTCCCTAAACAAGTTTTTAGCAGCTCATCTCGCCCCAGAAATCTCTTGAATGAAATATATTTTGCCTTAGTACAATCAGTGCTATCATATTGTATCCCGATTTGGGGCGGAGCTGCTAAAACGAAGTTTATTGAACTTGAGAGAGCACAACGTGCTCTAATAAAATGTATGTACTTTAAAAAACTTACATTTCCAACTGAGAATCTGTACCAAGTTAGCACACTGCTCTCAGTTAGAAAGCTGTATATTACTCAAACTATACTAAAAGTACATAAGGCTGTTTCCTATGATGCGTCTTTAACATTAAAAAGAAGGAAAGAAAATATAATTAAAATCCCACAAACAAGAACAACATTTGCGTCAATGCAATTCGATAAAAGATCTGCACAATTATATAATAAAATTAACAGTATCATTTATGTTTACCCCTACAATTACCATAAATGCAAAAAGACATTAATAGATTGGATAAAAACCCTTAGTTACAATGATACGGAAAAACTGTTAGAACATATTCATTAAATACTCACACACGCACACACACGCGCACACACACACACGCGCACACACACACACACGCGCACACACACACACGGACACACACACATACACACACACACACAAACACACACACACGCGCACGCACATACACACACGCACACTCACACACAATACACAAACAAATATATGTACGCTAATTTTTATTTTTATTTTAATTTTTTATTTTTTTGTTTGTCTTAATTGATCTATTTAAGTTTGTAGTATCACCCATAATATTATAATCAGCTAAAAGATAAAATTACTTTTTTATGAAAGGGCGGGGTCTCCTAATACAGGCAAATTATTTGCTTAAAAGGGGATCTCAACCACAAAATTTGAAATTTTGATTAGATTTGAAATAAATAAATAAATAAATTTTAAATTAATCAATTAATTATATGTTAATTTTTATTTCAAATGTAAATGTATATTGTTATCTAATTTATAGTTGTTATTGTTGTTGTGTTATAATAAATAAATTATTATTATTATTATTATTATTATTTATTTTTCTTTTTATGATTGTATATTTTATTTAAAAATTGATTTTAGTAACGTTTTATATATAGATAACTATTTTACATTTACTTTTATTTTTAATTAGTTTTATAAAAAGCTGAAATAGTAACAGAAACGGAGCCAAATAACGATGAAACCCAATGTGTGTGTGTGTCATGTGTGTGTGAGTGTGTGCCATGTGTGTGTGTGTGTCGTGTGTGTGTGTGTGTGTGTGTGTGTGTGTGTGTGTGTGTGTGTGTGTGTGTGTGTGTGTGTGTGTGTGTGTGTGTGTGTGTGTGTGTGTGTGTGTGTGTGTGTCTGCCATGTGTGTGTGTCATGTGTGTGTGTCATGTGTGTGTGTGTGTGTGTGTGTGTGTGTGTGTGTGTGTCATGTGTCATGTGTGTGTGTCATGTGTGTGTGGCATGTGAGTGTGTCATGTGTGTGCGTCATGTGTGTGTGTGTCATGTGTGTGCGTCATGTGTGTGTGTTATGTGTGTGTGTCATGTGTGTGTCATGTGTGTGTGTTGTGTGTGTGTGTCATGTGTCATGTGAGTGAGTCATGTGTGTCATGTGTGTGTGTCGTGTGTGTTCGTGTGTGTGTGTGTGTGTGTGTCATGAGTGT